CTACCTGGAGTCCCATCGCCATTTTGATGAGACATCGCTTCCCTTAAGAACCGCAGAGAGACATCCCTTGGAACGGAAGAACGGCCGATCAATACTCCATTTAGGCCCCCCCAAAATGATAACCATGGCCTACTTTTGTTGTGGGATCTTGTTTTTTCTGGTTGTTCCCCGGGTAGGGGTGCCTTCCCTTCTTTGTAGACAACCTCCGGAAACCCAGAAAGAACGGCCGGCTTTGGGAAAGAACAACCTGTGGTTAACATTTTTATCTGTCTAGTGGGTATCCGCAACCCCCCCCACCCAAACCCCCCCGGCCCAACCCAGCCCAAACCCCCAGCCCAACCCAAGCCCAAGCACCCCCCCAAACCCCAAACCTCCCAGCCCCCCCCAGCCCAACCCCCCACCACCCCCAAAAACCACCAGCCCAACCCCCCCAAACCCAAACAGCCACCGATCTTGTCAGAGTCATCCAATTCACTCTCCCATGTCGAAAACCCTACTCGCCCTGGCAGACCGAAGCCCGACTGAGGCCTGCTTTCCCGAAAGCATGGCGAAGGGTTCTTCCGCTGGGTTCACTTGAGTTGTTCTCATGAGAGTCATTGCAAGGAGTCATTGCAAGGAATCATCATCATGAAAGTCATTGCAAGGTGTCATTGCAAGGAATCATCATCATGAAAGTCATTGCAAGGAGTTATTGCAAAAAGTCATCATGATGAAACTCATTGGGAGGAGTCATTGCAAGGAGTCATTGCAAGGAGTCATTGCAAGGAGTCATTGCAAGGAGTCATTGCAAGGAGTCATTGCAAGGAGCCATTGTAAGGAGTCATGAGTGTCACTGCAAGTTGCAAGGAGCCAAGTGGATGGAGCCAAGTGCAAGTTGCAAGCGCACGGAGTCAAGCACAAGTTGCAAGTGCAAGGAGTCAAGCGCAAGTTGCAAGTGCAAGGAGTCAAGTGCAACTGACTTGCGGGGTAGCGCCGACAAGAACGAAGTTTTTTGCGATTTTGTTTTGGCTCGCGCGACCCTCTGCGGGGATCGGCGGTCGAGGTGCAAAAACTCGAGGTTTTTTGCGATTTTGTTTTTGCTCGCGCGACCCTCTGCAGGGATCGGCATGGTCGAGGTGCAAAAGCTCGAGGTTTTTTGCGATTTTGTTTTGGCCCGCGCGACCCTCTGCGGGGATCAGCGTGGTCGAGGTGCAAAAACTCGCGGTGTTTTACGATTTCTGCGGCGCTAGGTGCAAAAACTCGAGGTTTTTTGCGACTTTTGTTGTTCGAACTGGTCCTCGGGAGTTGTCTCGTGGTTCGCGCGCCTGCTCCCCGGACCGGCGGGTCGCGGGTTCGATTCCTCCCTGGTCCGCGGGCGCGCTTCGCAAGCTGCACGGAGCAACTTGCATAGAGCAACTTGCGCAGAGCAACTTGCACAGACCAGTTTGCGCAGAGCACCTTGCCCAGAGCAACTTGCGCAGAGCAACTTACGCAGAGCAACTTGCACAGATCAACTTGCACAGAGCAGCGTGCACAGAGCAACTTGCGCAGAGAAACTTGCACAGAACAACTTGCACAGAGCAACTTGCACAGAGACATTTGCACAGAGTCAGTTGCACAGAGCTTCTTGCACAGAGCAACTTGCGCAGAGCAACTTGCACAGAACAACTTGCACAGAGCAACGTGTACAGAGACATTTGCACAGAGTCAGTTGCACAGAGCTTCTTGCAGAGAGCAGCTTGCACCAAGCAACTTGCGCAGAGCAACTTGCGCAGAGCAACTTGCACAGAGCAACTTGCACAGAGCAGCGTGCACAGAGCAACTTGCAGGGAGCAACTTGCACGGAGCAACTTGCACGGAGCAACTTGCACAGAGCAACTTGCACAAACCAGTTTGCGCAAAGCACCTTGCCCAGAGCAACTTGCGCAGAATGGTCACGGGGCTGTGATGCTTTCGGGCCAACCGTGGTCTAGTTTTTTGCGAGCAGAAGAAGGTTTCATAACTGTCAATTTGCCCTTCCAAACCAGGGTTTTGGCCCCCCAAAAATGAGCTTGAGGGAGCGAGCCAGCTTACGCTTCAAGACTGACCCCCAATCATAAGCCAGCCAGCTTTCGCTTTGGGCACTTAATGCTTTGAGACCGACCCAGCCAATCACAAGCCAGCCAGCTTACGCTTCAGACGCTTAATGCTTCTAGCTTCTCCTTCCGCAAATTGAGCGCAAGCCGGCAAAAAAAAGGGGCGCCAGCTCCTCCTTTGCCAGGCTCGCAGGGCCCGTTCTGCGCGGGCCATCAGGCTCCGTCGCCTCCGGCGAGCTCCGCTTCACAACAGCGCTCGCTCTTCTCTGCGCCAGGCTGGTTCAAAGCACGGATCGCGCAACTGTCAGACACAAGCTAGCCTTGGAGGCCTGTGTCACGGCGGGCCGCTCCTGTCCAAATCCAGGTGTCCGCGCCTCTGCGCAAGAAAGCCTCACTTGCCTCCTGCGCGGACGGCAGCTTCTCCTCCGCGCGCTGCCCCTCCGGCCTCGCTGGCTCTGTCGCCTTGAGCGAGCTCCGTTTCAGGCAGCCTGCATGGCTGCGAGCAGGCCGGCGTCGCGTCGACGGGCCACTCCTGCTAAGACCAATCACTTATGGACTGGCTACTACTTGTCCTCAAGGACATCGCTTCTGTAGGCATCGCAGCCAACATTGATTTTCAAGGTTCATTGTCAATGCAGGCAGGTGGGTCACCAGCTTCGTTGGGCCTTTGCTGCCTGGGAATGGCAAACCCGCGGGCCAACAAAGTTGCCCCATGAAATGGCTTGGCAAATGTTGGTGGAAGATTTGCAGGAGCTTTCCATCTTTCAAGTTGTTGACCATCTCTGTCATTGGTCAGGGGCTGACAGAAGCATGGGCAACAACCATGTTTAATGGTCCTAATTAGATGTGGCCCATGTGCAGCCTGAAGCAGCGATTGATCCAATCTTTGTTTGTCAGTTTTTTGGCTTGCCAGGTCTCAGGGCTCCATCCATGCATGTACCCCACCAACCCTGCAGGCCACAGTTCAACCCCTACCAGAACCAAGGACATAGAACTTGCACATGAACAGAAACAGGTCAGTATTGAACTGGGCGGTATCAAACTGGACCATGACGGAGTGGATGCCTTGTCCGGCCTGGCATTTGGCACAGCGCAGCAGGGCAAACACAAAATGCACTGGCAACTGCTGGCTATCAGAAGTCAAAAGCTTCCTGCTACTTGGTCACCCCTTGCTGTCAGCCGTTCATTTTTTCACTGGGCGTAGCGCGGTCGTTGCGTGACTGACTGGAATTCGAAAGGAAGAACTCTCACTGCTGCATGCTGTACTCATTTGGAATTCACCTGCCGTGCTCCACCAGCCCTGGCCATTCATGAACAGCTCGTTCAACCTTAAAGAACATCACCACACAAGATACCAACGACCAAGGACCAAAGACTGATGGAGCAAAAAACCAGGCCAGCTGCTTCAATGAAAAACAGCTTTTGTCCCCCTGGCACGGACCCAGATGCGCTCAGTACGGGCTTGAGCGCTGGTAGGTGTCATAGGCTGAGCTCCACTGCGAGTGCTGCCCGGACGGGTGAGAGGAGAACTCATGCGTGGGCCTGCTCAGCATTGTTGTCTGGATCCCTCGGGGACATCGCAACTAATTCTTTTGAACCTCCGCATGCCAAAAGTACACCATAAAACGACCCACTCAACTGCTCAACTTGTGTCCTGCTGGCGGCGACCCTGAACTGAAGGGCTCTTCTGGAACCAGATGCTGGTGGGTGATCGGCAGCGTGCGGCCACCTGGGTGAAGCTCAACGTCAATGGGTTGCAAAATTAGCCATCAATGAAAAACTCTGAATCAACCAGGTTAAAGATTGCCTTGACCAAACATGTGAATGGCGTGGATTTGTACCGGGGCGCCCTCATCCGGGAATGCCGCATTGAGGTCGTGCGGCGTCGCCTGGTCCGGGATGAGGCCGCACTTGAACCACTTCACGTTTTCCTGGATGACCGCGGACACGTTGTTTGTGTAACAACTGTCATGTCCAAGTTTCGGGAGCGCCTGGCAGTTCACGACGCCGCTGAAAAAAGGCTCCAAGGCAGCGTAGCCACGGGGAGGCTCACTGCCAACCCACAGCCCAGGCATCTCCCTCAGCTCCCAGAAGCCAGCTGCGCCACCCCAACCCCGCATCAGGGCCATGCCACACACGTGAAGTCCACCCCAAAAACTGCGTGAAAGGAATTGTGGGCATCCATTCCAGCTCAATTCCCTTTGTGGTTTCAGGGCCTCCGTGGCATCTGGCAGCTCGGCAGTGGCAGCATCTCGGTGTTTCTGTAGGCCTGTAGGCACTTTCGAGTTGTTGACCATCTTGGTCAGGGACTCACGGAAGCATGCATGGGCAACAACCAACTAAATGTTTGATGCTGAATTGCTGTTGTCCTTGTGCTTTTTCATTTTTATGTGCCCAATCAACACTCAAGTGCCAGGCAGATTTACCACAACCAAGGTCATATATGACTTTTGGGTGGTCAGATTGGTCATGTATGGGCCCCCCTTGTTTTTGAATGTTGCTTGCTCAGCTGTCATGCGTTGGCAATTTCCTGGTGGTTGGGGGGGGGGGGGGTTGGGCTTGGGGGGGTTGGGCTGGGGGGTTTGGGTCTGGCAGGGTTTGGGCTGGGGGGTTTGGGGGGGTTTCGGCTTGGCGGGGTTGGGCTTGGGGGGTTTGGGGGGGTTTGGGGCTGGGGGTTTGGGGTTGGGGGTGGTTGCGCTGGGGTTGAGGGGCTTGGGGTTGGGGGCCGCGCTTGTAGGGCCCCCCAAACCCCCCCAGCCCAACAGACCAAACCCCCCCAGTGCAAGGCCAACCCCCCCGCCCCCACCCAAACCCCCCCCCCCCCAAACTTTCCTCGGCCCAACCCCCCAGCCCAACCCCCCCACAGTCCGGGGCAAACTGGGGCTCACACGCAGCATGGCCGGCGCGGAGCAGAGCCCGCCCTGCCCGTGCCTGGACGCGGCTGGACGTGACCTCTGGACTGATCCGCGTCTTGCGGGGGGGGATGGGGGGGCCAAAGGTCTTTGGTGGGAAAACGGTTCCACCAAAACCCAAGGGCGTCCATTTGGTGAAATGAATGTTGTTTTATGTTCCCCTGTGGGTTTCAAAAGGAATCGATTTCACGACTGGAATTAGTGTTATTATCATTTTTCCAGGGGACTTAAGCAAATGGAGCAGGGCAAAAGGTCAAAACACTCATTTGGGTCTGTGTTAGCCCAAGACAAACTTGCTGCTTCAGCAGATGTCTAGACCCTAAGACTGAGAAGCAAAGAGAAACCCGAACAAACAGATCGCGAAAAATTCTCCCTGTATTCAAAACTCCAAAATCAAGCATGCAAAGGTGTAACGTGGTCGGGGTTGGGGACAATACTCGAAAATTGTGAGGTTAATCCAACGACAAACAGCAAAACATATGAGTTGTGATGTTGAAAGTGACAACAGTTAGAGGGAGAATCCAGTGTCTGGACCATTCGGAAACTACCGAAAGTCGCGCGTGCGAAAACCTAAAACTCAAGTTAGACAGGAACCTTAAAAAATGAAATTATTATATATATATATATAAAGAAGAAGAAAAAAAAACGAGTCGAGCAAACATGTTGACAGAGAATATGACAGCTACAAATGGACCTTCAGCACATACATGCGGGAAATTCCAGCGGCTTAGAGGCCAATGGCTCGAGTTTGACAAAAACCAGACCGTGACCTGACTGGAACAGCCTTTAAAGAGCGAGTCCCGTTTTCTGATCCCCTGCTAAAAGTGACTAACTTTGAGTGGGTGAAATGGACACCCACTAAACCCTAAAAAGCTGAAAAGCTAAGGAACCGGATGGCTGGGAGCCACCAAGAAACCCTTTCTTGGGGGCACTGGGCAAAAAGATTGGGGGAGAAGGAGAAGAGCAGACTCAGAGAGAAGAGCGGAGGGATGTTTCGGAGCGCGGGTTCCGCAAACGTTGGCGCGCAAAAACTGCTTGCGCTGAACGTTGCAAACTGCGCCGCAGCAGAACGAAGTGTTCAAGGCGGAGAGAGAACAAATAGTAATTTTGCATGAAGGCTTATAGGTCAACACCCTCCAGCTGGATATGGATTCTGGAATTTGTTCAAGGAGAAACCTCTTGTTGCCACTCCCACTCTAAACCCAACAGCTGCCTTGCAAAAGGTCACCAAAAGGTTGGTCATAAACCTAGTCCCCTGGAAAAAATGAGAAAATAATTCCAGTAGTGAAATCGATTCCCTTCAAAACCAACAGGGGAAAATTAAGACGTACTCTTAACCAAATTGACCAAAACCGGGCTGCCCTCACATCCCCCGCTCAAAGTGACTAACTCTTAGTGGGTTCAATTCGGAAACTAAAAGACGAAAAACCCTCAACAGATCTCAACGGCTAAACGGCACCGGATGGCCTTCATAAGCCCAAAGTTGGGCTCCAAGAACCGCCCGCGCGCCGCCAAGCGCGGCGCGCTCTGGCGGCCTCTCGTTTGGCCGAGCGGCTGGCCGGGGGGGTCTTGGAAGCCGCCCGGGGGCCTCGGGCGCGCGAGCCGAAACCGGCGAACTTGGGTTGGGGTGGGGTGGGGGGTTTTGGGGGGGGTGGGGGGGGTGGGGGGTGGGGGTGGTGGTGGGTGGGGTGGGTGGGGTGGGTGGGGTGGGTGGGGTGAGTGGGGTGGGGGTGTCTGGTTTTGACGGGGGGAGGGAAGGTTTCTTGATTCAGTCCAAGAAACCAACTCTACAAGGCCAACCAAGGCGCATGAATATGCAACGTGCGTCGCTTATGCGAACGAATAGTTGAGGTCAGTCGATGCTCTGGCATGGGTATCAAAATAGCGGAACACCCAAAAATGGTGTATTTCCAGTCGGTGTTAAAGTAAAACTCTGGTCGACGAGCTCCACACCAAGTTCTTGAAGAACTGATCCACCCTCCAGCTCGGTCACTGGATTCCTTGAAGGGCACACGCCAAAACCACTTGCCTTACAAGGAGTTCGGTCCTCTATACCAAATGCTAATTTGGGTGTGTTTTGTCCAGCCCCAGCTGGTATTGGTCCTCTACATCAGCTGGTATTGATCCTCTACATCAGCTGGTGGTCCTTTTCGGTGACCGTCGGATTTTGCGCCACTGTCCATTGATCCACCGCCCCGCTGGAGCTTTGTCCAGAGATCCGCTTTGGCTCGCGGCTACGCACGCGCCCGAACCCGCCGTGTGAGTTGCTTGGGTCCAACCTGTCGCAGTTGGAAGTAGTCCCTTGGGTAGCGGGGTGCTTCCACTGACTTTAATTAAACCAGTTGAGGTCGTCTCAAATGGTGTGTTTTGACACCCACATTGGAAGTCTGGGCTTGTCGACTTGCATTTGCTCACCTGTAGTTCAGGTTAGTCAGCAAGTTGACCAGCCATCGCTTGGTCGTCTGATCCTGGCTTCTGTCAAACTAGACCAACTCTTCGGACGTCAGTGAAATGAGGGGAGCCCAAAAAGGTTCGCTTTCGGACGCAAAAAGGAGGGGCAAAAAGAAGATAAACTTGGATTCCCCAAACAACAAACGACGAGGGCCCCACCCAATTTCCCACGTTCTTGTGGGGAAACAAGTCACATGTTGCATTGTGCACTTTACTCACTCCATTTCAATCAACATCTGTGCTTGTCAGAATCACTTCTTTTTTTAAAGAGAGGGGCTCCTGCAAAAAACTGGTTTCATGCGTGGGCGGGGTATGTTTGGGAAAAAACGCGAAGAGAACTTCATGGGGGAGGGCTTTCGCTTTCCCCCTCCCCCGCTCCCCCGAGGCGCGGAGTGTTCCTTTGGTTCCCTTTCAAAAAAAAAGGTACCCACTGGGGCCTTATTGCCAGACAAAGTTCGCTCACCTCCAGATTGAGAAGGCCGAACCCTTCAACCCAAAACCCAGGATCGGAAAAAAAAAGGACCGCCCAAAGCGATTCATATCGAGGAAAACCACCCCTCCTAGCGATGAAGCCCGACTTACACCATGGGCATATGTGGATAAACTATAGGGGTATATGAATCCTGAATTCAGATTATCTTCTTCATTCATCATGTGGGTGGACCCCCGAAATATGGTCGCCTTTTGGTTTGACTTTAAAACCCTCACAAGGGACAGATCCTCATTTGAGTCAGCAAAAATGTAGGATCCCAACGTTGACCCAGTTTCGGTTCCCCTTCCGTAGTTCTTCCGTTGGGCTGATTTCGTTTTTTTCGGCCTGATTTGTGCAGATTTACCGGGCGTTGGTGAGTAACCCCTATTTCTATGGTGAGGGTGCCCCCATCCCCTTTACTACCGCAAACGGCAAATATTGCTCACATCACTTGCTCAATAGGGGCTCTAAAAATATCAAGACATCCCCTGTTGGCATTTGTTGTGGATAATAGGACTACAAAAAACATGGGCATTCTGTGGGCGTGTGTGTGTGCGTCAAAATAGGACCCCCCTAATCAAGGGAGGCCAAAACTACCGGTTTGGCAGGGGGTCCCCTTAAAGACAAACCCTCACTTACTGAGTAGACCGGCCAAAACATGTCCAAGCTTTGCATTTACGAAGTCTCAATGTCCATTCATTGTTGCTTCGACTCCTGTGGTCGAGCCACTAAAATGGTCCAAACCGAAAAAACCACAGTCCACGAGCTCGAGCGAGGGATTCGCATGGTTTCATGTCGTGCCCATTTCTCGAGTGAGAACCAACTCGAGTGCAGCCCATCAACTGCCAACTCGCCGTGTCCGTCGACTGCCCGCGATTCTCGATGCGCGATGCGCGAGCTCGCGAGGCGCGGGGCGCGATGCGCTGACGGCTCCTCCTCCAGGCAGCTCTGGATGGGTTCAGGGAGCCGCTTCAGTGTGGGGTCGCTCTGGAGACCCTCGGGCAGGCACTGCTTCAGCACCTCACCCGGCGGAGAGGCAGAGGCTTGTGCGCGCAAGGGCGCGCGTCTACGGGGGGGTGAGGGGGACGGAAAAATGCCGGTGGCAAAGAGTAAGGGGCTTAAAATTGGTGGCAGCAACTAAGAAGCAACTTTGTTATGCCCAATAGTAATACAAACTTGATTTAAACAAACCACAAAATAGACCCTTCCAGCAAGCAAAACCAGGCTGAAACCATTCGGCGACCTGACAAAAAGGGATCCGCAAAGAAGGTGCCAAAGGAACGTGTTTGGGTTTAAGCACGTCGCAAGTAGAAAAAACCAAGGGGCCGAAAAGGAGGAACATCTAAACCAAAATGGCTCCTCCGCGGAGCCCCGAGTATGTAAAGGGGCAGCCAAAAGCAAGTTTATTGAAACGCCCACCTGAAGATATAGCCAAGAAAACGCAGGTTTATATACTTACCCCTTAAAACTCCAAGGATTGGGGAAGTTAATCTTTTATAGACCTTTCAGCCCATGTTAACCAAAAAGTTGAGGAAAGTTGTGCTTTTAAGAGGTAAGTATCACAAAAGCGGTAAACATGAATATGTCGGATAGCGCAGAATCAAAGGGGAGGCAATTCAACAGTTGTCCCAAACTATGGCTGCCTGTCCGGGGGGGAGAAAACAACATGATCCCAAGCCCTGACAATACTAAATGACTGCTAAACGAATACTAGTCAATACTAAACCAATACTGACTAATACAAATCCAATGCTAAGTCGATCCAGAGCCAACAAAACCAACTGAGGCCCCAAAAATGGTAAAAGCAATAAATGTTTGAGGGGAGGAAAGGAGGAAAGAGGGAAACAAACACAAAAAATAGGCCGAGGAATACAACACAAATTCTAAACCAATTCTACTCACTTGCCCAAAAGACCCATCAAGAAAAGGTTAACCTTTTGGGACCCCTACTAAAAATAGACAAAACAGGGAAAACCAAAAGGTCAAAAGGTCGGCTTTGACCAACTGAGTCTAAAGACGACCGGAGCAAAAGAATCCTAAACCAATTCTAAGCAGTACTGGGCCAGCTCCAAGGAATACTCAAACAATTCTAAAGTGCTAAGCAGTACTTCCCGAGAGACTACTTGAAAAGGTCCAACTCTGACCCCCAATTTGTTGTTCGGTGTTCCCTATCCACCCGCCAATTTGTTTGAGGGGCCCTTTACTATTCACTCCTCAACAGAACCATAAACCCAAAACCTGACATAAGAATTGGATCCCCAAGTAATTCACCCACATCATGGGTGCCGTCGCTTCTGCCTGCGGATCGCTGGAACCACTCGAAACCCACAACTGGGCTGCCCGTTTTCAGATCCCCCGCTAAAAGTTTGACTAACTTTTAGTGGGTTAAATTAAATGGAAAACCACCACTAAACACTAAAAAGCTAAAAGGCCAAGGGCCTGGCTGGGAGCCACCAACTTACCCCTTAAAACTCCAAGCCCTGGGAAGTTAATCTTTTACAGACCTTTCAGCCCATGTTACCCCCAAAAAGTTGAGAAAAGTGGTGTTTTTAAGAGGTAAGCCGAGCAACCGCTGACGTCCGGCTTGACACAAGTCCCAAAATCCCCGTGGGTTCAGCTCCGGGCTTCGGCCTCCCGCGCGCGCGGAGAGTCGATGAGCCGCAGGTAGCACCGCACCACGTGCTTCAGCAAACGGATGCACGGGGCCTCGACGTGAGCACCGGGTTGCGCACGGCGCCAAAAGGCAACCCGCTTTCTTGGGGCGCTTGTTTTTCTTTTCCTTTTTCGGGGGGGGGGGGGGGGGGGGGTACCCTTTTTGGCTTTGTTTGTTTGAGGCCACCCTTTTAAGTTGTTGTTTAAGAAGAAAAACACGTGCAAAACACACATGCTCGAGGTTGGCCTATGTTCGCCTTCAAAGCAACTCCCAGTTTCAACAACAACCCCTTGTTGCTTTCGACCAACGCACGGAACCCAACAAACTATCCGTAGCCTTTTGGGGAAAGCAGCCCTCGTTTTTGGTTCTATGCTGGTACGAACTTCAAAATCACACCCCCCCCCCCCGTTTCTTGAAGGCTGCCGGTGGACATAAATTCCCATGACGAAACTGCACATGGGCCGATCAAAGGGCACCAGGGGCCCACGTTCCAGCCGATCTGTTGAGAAGTTCCCAAAGCTCCATACCGCGGTCTGCAACCCCTGACTTCCCGCCAATCGGGACATATCAGCTTTGACCTTTGGAGCCCCTTCAAAGAAGTCTTCCCGGCGATGCCAAGCTTTAATGCTTGGAGTTGGAGTGAGCCTGAGCAGTTGACCATCCCTACCCCAAGGAACATGTCAAAGGTGACCATGGCACATCCTGGAGATCTGGCAACTTGCGCGTCTTGTCGTGTTCGCGGACGAGTTGCCGAGTCGCCTTGCGGTTCTTATCCAATGTTTCGAAGATATCCTCGTTTCATGGGTTGCCTTGCGGCGCTTAGCCGCCGAGCTGGCTCTACAAAAGCCCTGAAATCCAACCTTGGAGATCTGTGAAGTCGAGGGGAGAAATTCCCGTTGTGATTACTTTCATAGGTGTCCTGTTGGTTGCCGTTTTTCTGGCACTGGTAGATGAACATCGAATCAATCTGAAACCCGTTTGGATCTGTCAACCAAACCAACCTAGAAACGACACCAAACCGGCCCATGGCATCCGCCCGGCACAACCACCCCTCCCCCCCCCCGGCCCCTTGTATATCACGAAAATCTCCAGTTGGAAGGAACCGCCGCCAGGAAAAGGTCACTTGACACTCCTATGGCGCATAACACCTGTTTGGTGCATTTCCCTCTGCCAACACTCAGAATGGGCCAAGACGAAGGTACCCTCTCCAAATTTTTGAGTGAACCAGACTGAAACTAGTGGAATTCATCGATGGTCGGTCCAAACGCTACCTGAACAAATTGGAAGCCAGGTTCTCGGGCGTATTTAATTCAAGGGGCAAGATATCTACGAATGGCGACCCCTACAATCACAACTGAACCAGGTTTTAAGTACTCTAAAACCACATTCTAGCTCTTGAACGGCCCATTTCAACGACTATTCTGGGCTGCCCTCGCGAAAAAGTTTGAATGGAAACTACCACTAAAACACTAGAAAGATCTAAAAGGCTAAGGAACCGGATGTCTAGGAGCCACCAAGTATTTCCGGTCCAGGGACCGGCGCGGATTGTTGGCCGACCCGCCTTCACCAGGCCATCCACCATCTTGGACAGCACGCTGGTCACGGCGTAGAACCTCTCCGCGGTGGAGCACACGTAGCTCAGGCCCTGCTCGTCCAGGAGCAGCTTCCTCAGCAGTCAACCACCTAAGATGGCTTTGGGTGGGGGGAATTGCTATGGTTGTAACCCAACTAATCAAAACCGATCGGCACTAAAACAAAAATCCGGATGCATTATACACCTGAATTGCAACTTGTAAATGGTGGTTTCAACCTTATTTTGGTGGAAAAGCCATGTTTCAAATGGGCAAAATGTATCTTTTAAGGAGCCCTGTAAAATGGTCTACCCAGAACCATGTACAGGATGAAAAAGGCGGCCGCTGCTATTTATGGTTGGGATCGTCCCTTACTAACCTTCATCTACCCGGGCTTTGATTGTCGCTCAACTCCACGGTCAGAAAGCTGACCACAGCCCCGGTTTGTTCTAAGGTCACACAAACAAACACCCGCAAACACACACCTATTTGGGAAAGACTTCCAGAGATAATTCTCGGAGGTGTCGTTGGTGGTTTCTAGAAAAACGATAAGACATTGGCCCTCTGATGCCAAAGCTTCCAACAAAAACACACACACACACAAAACAAAACAAAAAAAAACGGAGAAAAAAAGCATGGCACACCAGGCGCCTGGAAGCTTTATATATCTATAAATATAAAAAGGCATCACATCGGCAAAAAATAATAATTAAAAAAAAAAAAACAAAAAAAAAACGCGGCATCACATCGGGGGGCATCGAACGGCCGGGCGTCTGCACGATGAAGGTGGCCACTGTCTTTGAGAGCTCCGAGCCCTGCTCCATGATCCGCAGACACAGAGGGATGATCTCCGTGTGGAGGAGGAAGCTGATCACCTGGAGGAAAAAAAGAGAAAGACGACTTTTTCGGTGGGGCGAAGGATGCCGATCGCTGGAAAAATGCGCTGGACAAAAAGAGAAAGACGACTTTTCGGCGGGGTGAAGGAAGCGGATTGCTTGAAATGGGCTCCAAAGAAGGCCATATGTGTGTGGGGTGAAGGAAGCGGATTGCTGAGGAAACTCCGTTTTTTCTGATCCCCTGCGAAAAGTGACTCACTTTTAGTGGGTTAAATTCGGAAACTAAACCCTAAACCCTAAAAGTCTAAAAGGCTAAGGGGATGGCTGAGAGCCACCAAGGAAAAGAGAAAGACGATTTCGGTTGGGTGAAGGAAGCTGATCGCTGGAAAAATGTGCTCCAAATAAGGCCTTATGTGTGTATAGATGTATTATTTATTGATTTACTTGTTTATATTTATGTATCTATGTATTTAATTTATCTATTGACTTATTTCTCTATTTGCCAATATGCAGCCAACCTGATTTTTACTTGTTTACACCAGGTCACGCAAAAGGCCTGGGTGTGGTTCAAGGTGTTTCCGTTGCCAAGCTCGAAGGGAAAGCAAGGGAAAAGCCATCAGAGTCACAAGCCGCACCTAGCTGGCCAGAAAAGATTCAAGATTCCCAGGCTCAAGATTCACAGGACTCTAGGGTCTACCCAAAACCGAGGAACGAAATAAAGGATTTCTTGCCGATTATGGCTGGGAGCGCCCAGCCACGAAAACCGGAAAATCAAGGGGCGCGCAGAGAATGCGATGTTCAGATTCTGCTTCATGTCTAGTCTCGAAACGGAACGGCTAGCTGCGGACCACAATCATAGAAGCAAGCAGTCCTCTGGGTGGTTTGTCCTGTTTTCGAGGGTAACTACGCCGTTTGGAGGGTTTTTGCTTTAAGGGAACCCAACAGGGCGCTCAGCAAATATTCGGGTCGAGGGGGTCCTCACAAACAAAACCTCAGCTAGACCCCACTGCATCTATGGCTCACTTCGACCCAAGGAGAGGGAACCCAAACGAGAACTCACCAAATTTTCGGAGACGGTTACAGCTCACTTCGACCCAAGAGAAAGATATGGACTACCCGTAGTCTAAATGGTTGGCCACAAGGCCTCGAGGATTACCCCCTGGAGTTTGCTCTGCAGGGATCCTTGCATTATACACCTGAACATTGCAACTTGTAAATGGTTTCAACCCTGATTTTGGTGTTGAGAAAGCCACATGTTTTTCAAGTGGCGGCAAAATGGGGGAACAAATCTTCTAAGGAGCCCTGCCCAACAGCCAAAAATGAACAGTCGAAATGGCCGGTCGCAAGCAAATTGGAGGCTTAACTACCTCCGAGTGGAGATTTTTGCAACGCCAAAAACGCCAAAGACCTGAACTCCGTCGCCTCGGGGTCGTCCACCTTCACCAGCGCGCCGATGACCCCGAGGGACGTGAGCCTCAGGAACTCGATCGGCCTGGCGAGTGCGAGTGCCGGCGGGGAAGGGGGGGGACGGGACGGCGGGGGACGGTACGCCTTTTTCTTGGCGGGGGATTCAAAGGAAAACAACCAAAAGGACAGCCGCTCTGCTGCTTTCTGCTTTTTTGTGGTGCTTTTGTTGGTGAAGGGGGGGCCTGGCGGAGAATGTTCTGCAAAAAGGACACGCACATACGGATTCCGTTCTCTTTGACTCTGTTATCGCGGCTCCGTGGCCTCAAACCATTGCCACATGGCTGCTTTTCCTTTGAGAGACCAGCTATGTGGAGGGGCTGCGGCTCCACCTCTTCCTTTCTCCGGAATCACGAGCTCCGCTGCTCCGGTTTCGGAGGCGGCTTTTTGCAAGTGACTTTCCTTTCGGAAAAAGGACGCCCCTTGGCAAATGTTCGATGCTTGGGGGTTGATCAGATCTTTTCATGAGGCAGGAAAACGAGACTAAACTGAATCCAGCTTCCAAAACAACCAATAGATTCTCCCCTTCCATCCCTTCCCTCGTCCAAAAGAGGAAGCCAAACCCATGTTCTACCCCTCCCTCCCCTTCCATCCCCTTCCCTCCATCGCGGCCGCAAGCGATTCCATCCATCCCCAAAGAAACCAAACCAACCCCACTCGCGACGCGCGACCGCGAGACCCCGCGGGACCGGCGATGCGCCTGTCGTCGGACGAAGCGTTGAGAAAGGGATACAGCAGCAGCGGCAGCTGGGCCTTCAGGAACAGCGGCCGCGTCTCCGCATGGCTCGCCACGCACTGCAGCAGAGCCAAGGAGTTGCCTCGGAAAACTCGAGTCAGTCGCTTGGTGTCCCCCACCCAAGAAGGCCTTTTTTCTATGACTCGCGTTCTCTTTGAACTTGATTATGTCATTGTTTTCTATCTGTTTGCAGAGTTTTCGTATTCAAACCCCTTTGAACTGGAATGCGCAAGTGCCTGTTTGCTTGCATGTCCCTCGTTTCGCGACTCAACTCCTGTGGGTCAATGTTCCTGGCTCCCTTCATAGGAATGCTGCTCTCATGGCTGTCTAAACCCCTAAGAGTTGATGGGTTGATCCTTGCCAAGCTCCAGAAACAGTTTGTGTGCGTCTGTGTTTGGCATGTGTGTTTGGCGTGTGTGTTGACCGTGGCACAAAATATGTGCCTTTTACATATATATATATATATATACATATATATATATATATACATATATATATATACATGTATGGTAGAGGTCTGGCACCCCCCCCCCCCACCCCCCCTTCACCCCCCCCCCCCCGCCATGGTCATGGTCATGGTGGCCTTAAAATAATTTTGAGTCGTTTTTGCATGATGTTCGATGAGCAGAACCAAGGAGCTTTCACGTTTCCTTGTTTCGCCTGATGTGTCTGGGGCCAACAGACAAAGGCGGGCTTATTGTTTGTCTCCCCCGAACCAGGGGACTACAGTAAAATAGCACACTGTGCTTTCCCAGAATTGCAGTGCCTTCTTAACTTGTTCTGTTGTTTTCTATTTGCTTTTCCTTGCTGGTTTTCTCCTTGGGAACTGAACCAAAAGGGTTGCATATTCCGCGCATGGGCCAAAACTGCCAGCAGGCCTAGACCTGAACACTTTGGCAAAGCCTTGGTCACGGTGAAACGGCTCCTCCCGCGGCTTGAGGCATTTGGGACTGCTGCACTGCTCTTAGGTCAGCGTTCAAGTAGCCAAGAGCAACCGAAAGCTTGTGAACTTAGCGCGGCTGGGCCATGGGTTGGGGGTACAAAACCCATCGTGCAAACTCCATGCGGATGGCACAGCTAGCTTGTTTTGCGATCGCAAGCCATTCAACTCGTGCTTGCCACTTGGGGTTCACAGCCTCAACAAAAACCCCCGGGGTTCATCGACAAAGCGGGTGTCCCTTTTCGAGGGACTTCCAAGTTGGGGCACCACACCCGGGGAGAGGGTCAGGTTCTGTGGCCAAGTTGAACTAACACCACGAAACAGTGAGAGGTTTGCTCGTAGCACCGTAAATGAGCGAGCACAAACAAAAAGCAAAGGCCGCGAAGCATGAATGTATAAGACGACGGTGTTTTGCAGAAAGGGGTCATGGTAATTCCCTCCCCAACATGCAGCATTCAAGGAAAAACCATTCAAATGGCCATGAAGACAGAAAGGGGTATATGAAGAGGAATATGTCGGGAAATAGAAAGAGAACATGCGGGCCGGGACATAGAAAGGGACATATGTCAGGAAATACAACGGGGATTTTGAGGAAAGCATGAAGGGACATACAAAGCGGAACATGAAGGGAATAAAAGGGAAATACAAAGCGGGGGCATGTACAGCAACACATGGGCAGCAAAGGGAAATCTCATGGGATCTAGTGAGTCACCGAAGGAAAGGTATCTATAAAAGTTGCTTTGGTACCCAATACTCGATAGGTGGTCTTAAAGGAACAATGGTGATGGTTCCCTTTATAGGAAACATTGTAATGCGTATTCTGGAGTACTGCCAGGTGGATGACCATCCCTGTTGATTCATCCCGAGTACAGGAACCGGTCTTTTCACCACGCCACATATGGTCACAGCTTAGAAAATATGTTTCTTTCCGAGCCAAGGCGTTTTCCAAGCCCCTATTTTTGAGTTGTTTTTTGGGGTGGGGGAGGTGTTTTTTTGTTTAGTCCTTTTTTTTGGGGGGGGGGGGGGGTTGGAGGGGGACGGGTCCAAGCCGCATTTTTTTATTGGGGGAGGGGTCCAAGCCCCGGGTTTTTTGGAGGGGAATCCGTTGTTTTTGTTGGGGAGGGGTCCACCCGGCCGAGTTTGTTGTGAGGGCATCCTGGTTGTATGACGGCACCCATTTTTTCCAAGTGGTTTACAGGTTGTTGAGAGCGTTGATGAATATGTTGAAAGCCAACCGTCGTGTCTGACTCAGGGAAATGGAAAGAGTAAATTCTGAGGGGACATTCTGGAACGCATTCAGCACCATTTCAATAGCCAACCCATGCACTCACCAGACACATAGAAACCAGCGACCTGAATTTTCGAGCTGGAATTGTGACAAAATACCCAAAAGCAAGGATGCCCGGTAGAATTAGCTTCCTGGTTCGCTGGGGTGATAGTCTGGCAAGCGGAATATTGGAAGCTCTAAGAATGGTGCTTGAAAGGAAACCAAGACTCAAGTCAAAGGACCTTTTGGGGCCATCACAAAAACATGGAGCCGCACTTTTCGGCCTCCCTCTACTTGGTGGCTTGGTTTGGTGGTTTGGACATCAAGAGGTACCTTGCCTATTGTGAAAAGATGCTCTGAACTTTTGGATGGGCACCGCTGAACCCTAACACTATTTTTTGTTAACCCTTTTTCCCCTAAACCCCTAAACCCCTAAACCCCTAAACCCCTAACCCGAAACCAAGAACAAGCACAGCCTCCGAAACCCCGGCCCGGCCGGCCCTTTCCGAGTGACAGGCCCGGTTGGAGGCGTTCGCCGCCAGAGTCGGGGGCTGGGCCATCTGGGCGACGCTTTGATTTCATCCCCTCCTTTGGTGGCCTTTGAAAGCAAACCCAAAAGGTCTCACACGCGCGAAACCCCGGCGCCAGAGGGATTGATTTCTCTCTCCCAAATGAAACGCCCGCTGTTCGGTATAGTCTGAAACACAAACTGGTTTCGTTTGGCTTTGTTTTGCCTCCTTTTTGAGTCACAGAAAAAAGAAAAAGAAAAAAGAAGAAAAACAAACAAAAAACGGAACGCGCCATACCCAGAAAACGAGCGGGTAACGGCTCCTGAGCGAACCGTTTTCTTCGCTCCCTGGCCATGGAGCCAAGGGGCGATAAAGACATCATGAGGCCATGGGGGCCGCCATTCAAACCATGGGGGTTCATACTGTGGATGGTTGCGAAATCCATTTCGCACCATCGTTCAGAAACTCTGGTTTCTGCTGATTCAACTGCAAATACCAACCAACAATGGCTTCAACCATGCTTTCAAAGTGGTGCAGGATTTTGTCCACCCACAGTAGAACCACCACCATTGTTGTCCTAACAATTGTCATCCATTTTTTGTCCTTGCCTTCTTCTTTTATTTGAAGTTTAGGGTGACGTCATGCAGGCGGCATTGATTATACTAGCACATTTGAGAAAGACCGATATGATTGCAGAGAGAGAGAGAGAGAGAGAGAGAGCGATAAGCATGAGATCAAGAATGGAAAGGCAAAGGAAGCGAAAGGAGCCCCGGTCGGAAAGGTGATGCGACGTCTCTCCAAGAGTCGGCCTGCGGGTAGATCTGGACGATCTCCTGATTGTGTTGATTTTCATTTCCTCCATGATGGCTATGGTCCTTTTTGGAGAAATAGATGGCCCTGGTAGATGAGGGGGAACCACCAGGTAAACCAGGAATCGCCCTCAATTGTTTCACCAAACCAACCAGAAAGGACACCTTTTTCCATGGGTATTACCCTCTGCCCAAAAAGCGGTGTTTCGTCTGCATGGGAAAATCAAGAGTGTCCGAGCAAGTTAGAGGTTGAAGATCCATTTCAATAGCATCCGTGCACGAGCTATCGAATTGGTTGTCCCTTTAGATCGACTCAAAGAAGGAGACGGGTTGTTTTTTTCAGGATATATAACCCTGCCACCACATGAGTGGTAGGGGCGCTAACACCCGTTGTTCGTCACAAGGGGTTGTTTCGAGAGAAAACAAAAGGACCCAATACCAAATGTCCGCTGTTGTGGCTCAATGGGTTTCAGAGTGCCCTCTGATAAATTGATATTTAAATCCATAGCCCTTGGGTTACGTTCAACCCCTGCGTTTCAAAAAGAACATATATTTGATCCGCCGTCGTGTAAGCCCAATCCATGGAGAGCATATTTGTGTATATATATGTGTACATATATGTATATGTGTCACAATTTGACCCAGTAGGGTGAAGGCGGGTAAAATCGGCTAAATATTCACACCACATCCGCGGCAAGGAATCAAACCCCCACCCCCGACCCTGTTGTTTTTGCTCAAACACCGAGCTCAGTTCTTCAATGGGGGGCGTTCCCATTTGCCAGCACTTGCGCTGACATCCACGGGCTTGCCCAAAGAAACGGAGATATGGTTGTGGGTCAATGGGTAACCCCAAAATGGTAGCCCCCTGGCAAATGGAAGACTAACACCTGCGTTATCCTGGCTCTTTACTTTTGAGCCACACCCATGTTCTCAGCCGTAGGTACCACTTTTTGAGCCACAACCATATGGCTGTGGCTCAAAAAACCGGTACCCCTGCGGTTTGCCCCCCCCTGTCTAATTTTGAGCCACAGCCATATGTCAAGAGAACGGATTTCCATTTTCAGCTCCTGTGAGTCGCAATCAAAACCTGGCACGAAAATGGTCTACCCAGAACCATGTACAGGATTCTGTGAAGGCGGATATCCGCAGCTATTTCTGGTTGGGATCGTCCCTTGCTCACCTTCATCTACCCGAATCGGTTTTGCTTGTGGCTCAGGTGACCTGTGCCCCGAAGGCAAGGAGCCAACTTTTGGAGAAAGGCAACCCAAAACCCATTGGTGGTTGGTAAATACTATGGTAACACTCAACCACCTAAGATGGCCCCCCAAGAAGGGGGGGGGGAATTACTATGGTACCCCAACGATATTTTCCTTCATCCACTCCCTGGCTCCCTGGACGAGCAACACTCAACCCTACCCGAATCGGTTTTGATTGTGGCTCTCCTGGATCAAGGCCACAATGGACCCAAAGGAGTGCCAGAGCACCGGCGCCAGGTCCTGCGCGCGAGCGCTCCCTGCCCGTTGTCTGATCCCCGGCTAAACGTTGGACGAACTTTTGGTGGGTGAAATTCGGAAAAACTGCCACGGAAAACGCTAAAAAGATCTAAAAGGTTAAGGAACCGGATGGCTGGGAGCCACCAAGACATTCAGATCTTGGTGGGAGAACTGGTAGGAGAAAAGTGGGGGGTTGCCAGGGGTGGCCAGTGGCCAGAAATGATTGCCATTGAGAAAGGATGGGTGCCAACTTGATTCAAAAGCTAGGGGAAAGTCGAAACTGAGGTACCAAGGCCCAAGCCCATGGGCAAAATCCAAGCCGCTAAGGGTCCGGGACACGCGTATCTCCAAATGGGTAACTACATTCCCTGCTGTGTTTCCCTTTTCAGATACTCCACCGGGAAAGGACTTGATAAGACAGAATGTAGGGTCTTCGGGGAAAACCGAAAACATCTCTAAGGGGATTGCCGTCAAAGGCCTCCGCCCTCCAAAAAAACAGAAAAACTGCGAAACTGTCCGGCATTTGTTTTCTCCCCGACCCTTTGGCACACACATTTTCCCCTCCCGACAAACTTCCCCCGAAAAGCTCCAGCTCCCCCTTCCCCCAATCCATCCCGCCTGCAACTTCTCCCGCTGTTTGGAGAGCTCCAGCAGCGCGGTCTCCCGCTGGTCGCCCTTCTGGAGATCCTGCACCAAGCCTGCGCATCCATCGATCGATCCGCAGATCGAACCGCGAAAAAAGTCGCTTCGGAGCCGTGGGCACGGCGCCGAACAAGCGAGAAGCCGCGGAAGTCTTCGTCTTTCTTCGATTTTGGGCCGCGCGAGAAAGACGTTCTTCGTGATCTGTGGTTTTTTGCTGGAATCGGGTGCGCCTTGTTCGGAACTCTGTCGAAGATCCCAGATCGAATCAGGAGCGCTTTGGAAAAAGAACGTAAAAAGAGGACCCTAGTGCGCTTGGACTTGGGTTAGACGAACATGGCTTGGAACGGGCGAAGCTTTGCCTGCGACCACCTCTGTCTGTGATTGGGAACATCGATCGCATTTGATTCGATGGAAAATCAAACTCTACAGATCTTTGGCCCCAAAGCATCCATCAAAGGACAGTCATGGGCTCGACTCCCCAAGCAAACGAAACAAACACCGCAAGTCTAACTTTGGTTTCAGGGGCTCGCAAATCATTGTGCCAGATTCAGCCCATGCCGCAGTCTAATGTTGACCCCATATTGAGCAACCCCAGCTTATAAATAAGAGGGTGGGGGCCACTCCAAAAGTGATTCCCAATCAGGGACATCCCCCTACTAATAAACAGGGGTTGATGAATATGGGCCAATGTTACCAACAAGAGAGCTACTTAGATATCATACACATTCAGAGAAGCATCTCCGTTGGCCATGGGCCGCAATTGGAATGCTTCCAAGAAGTCTTACAGTTGGCAACGAACAGTGCTTGACGGGCTTCGGTTTCGAAGGAGGGGTGCCAAGCCTCGGAAGAAAAACAGAAAGGACATTGGGTAGATCGTAGACACGCTCATAGAAAGGAGGCACAAGCACACCTAGGTCCTCCAGTAGAGAGGTTAGAATAAGGGTGCCCTTTTTTCTGTAGTCTATTTTAGTAGGGGAACCCTCCCCCCCAAAAAAAGGTAAAAGGACACTATTGGGGGGACCTAGACACACTCAAATGCATACCAAAAGACTAAGACGCAAAGATGTCAAGCATTCGCGGCTGAGGATCCGCTGTCTGAGATCTCAGTTTAGATGCGCAGCGCTCATATCTAATCCCCGAACTTGGAGACGGATGGTCTTTCGGAAGCGCCTCACAAGGCTTGCGACCATTCAACTTCATTCCTCCCCAAATTTGGGGACGTGATACTTTCAAATCCGGCTCAAAAGAAACACTTCCAAACACTTTAGAATGGTTCTTCTTGTATTTCAAGACTTCTTGTGTGTTCTCCAGGGAGGGGGGGGGAATGTCTGTCTTCTACCCAACAGTGACCCCCCGACTTTCAACCCCTGCTGCCCAAGGGGCTATAGAGATGCTCTGCGGGTTGCCCAATCGTCGCCGCTTGCGCCGCGGCCGCGTGGGCGTTTTGGGCCCCCGGGGCCCCCTGGGCCGGATGGGCGGCGAGGCCCGAGTAGCCCGGGTAGTACTCCATGCCGGCGGTCCAACCGGACCTGGACATCGCCTTGAGCCGCGAACGGCCTGCAGGTTGGCACCGCAGAGTGGGCCCATGTTCGCGCCAATTTTTGGGGGCCGGACCCCAAAAAATACGCGCTGGCAGATGATCGTCACGGGCTCCTTTCAATCGAGAGGTGAGAGGCGCGGAATTTCCCTGAGGAGGAGGGTGCCCAACGCTGATTGGCCAACTTGAATTTTCTTTTGAAAGGAAAGGCGCAGGCACCGGAAGAAAGAGAGGCTGCCAATGTTCAATTACCACGAGGAAGACAAATCACACCGCCCCCAGCCCAGCTCAAAAATCAGTGTCGCGATGCTCCCCTGTTGAAAGCATGGATGAACTTAAGATTTCCCCGCCCCGTAGGTTGACAATGTCACCTAAGAAACTGCATCTTTAGCTTGCAGGGGAAACTTTTTCTTTTTCTGAGGATGCCACCTTCAAACTATGCGGGTGTCGTGGACACCCCGGAACTTTGTCTGAACAACATTCGTCACTGCCCCATCCAAATCAAACGTCACCTCCGGATCAAAACTCGTACGAGATGGCAGCCAGCAACCAAGAAGACCCTCCAAATTAGGGGTCCCACTTCCATGAAAAGGATTCCTCTCAAAAAAAAGATTAAAAAAACAAAACTCGAGAAAACAACAAAAACATGATCACAGAACTCCTCTGAAAACAAAAAACAAAAAAACTCGAGAAAACAACAAAAACATGACCACAGAACTCTTGCAAGCGCTGCCTCACTGCGAACGCACAACGTTTGGCGCAGCAAGTGCTCCCAAACGATACGCGCAAGTGCAGGCAGTCCGCCTACCAGCCTGGTAGTGGGGCAATGGATGGCGAACCGGGGTGAGACGGCGCCCTCCCAGCCAGGAAAATTGGACTCTCAAGAAGCTAAGGAGCACTCCCATCGAACCACCCTTTGGTTCGAGGGACATGTGGCGCCGAAAGGCGCCCATCGAATCGATCACATCATGTCTGACAGCACTGGGCAGAAGCAACATGTCGTGACATGGGTTGGCCGGCGGTCTTCCTGAACGGCTCAGTTGGCTGGGTTTTGCGAAAAAGTTTGGTTCGGTCGGCCGGGGTTCCAGAAAGATACGCGTGGATGGGTGTCCATTTTTTGCACGTTGGGCAGTGGGGCTGGCACTGGCGACGCGTGTGGCGCCGGTGAGTCATGCCACTGCCCATCACATCGCGTTTCAACAGAACGCACACGCAACAAGATTGTGATAGAGGCAGGCATGTGTCACGCAACAGGTATAGCGTACCACGCGCAGAACCAAAACCTCACGCCGACACACACACACACAAGATATAACGACATAACACGTCATTGCGAAATTACTACCTCATTCCATGACATGCCATCCAGTTGTATACATGAGCTCCCCCATGACCTATCTTTGACTTTTTGAAGTGCTTGCCAAAGTGCTTGTTCGTTCACAGTGCACACATGTTCAAAGCCAAACTGCCTGGTGTGTCGCGTTCTGTCAATGAGTTGTTCTGCTCTTGCAAAGTACACTGCTGTTTGTGCTCGTGTCTTGACAAGCGCGGAAATTAAACCAAAGCTAGATTTATGTTGGAGTATGTCAGTTACAATGAGCGTGTACAAATTAAACCAGCCAGAAAAAAACAATTCTTGCCTCTTCCCAGCGCATTTCTGGGGTTAAAACAAAAAAAAGGTCGCAGGGTTGAGGGGGAAAAAAAAACGAGAAAAAAAACACGGGGGCCCATTTCTTCCTCCGCGGTGCCCAAAAGTCTCGGCGGCCCTCGGTGCGGCTCTCGGACCTGGGCCCCGCGGCCCCAAGTTGTGCATCTGCAGGAAGTCCCGAAGTCCCCTCGCGAGGCGTGGCGACCCCGGCGAAGTGCTTGAATGGGCCTTCCACAGTGCGTGCAAATGTGTGTGTGTGTGTAATATATGTATATATGTACCTATATGTACATATATATATATATATGTACATATATATGTATACATATGTGTATACATATGCACATACTGTGTTCATAAATGTGACACACATGTACATGTGTATATCTATGTGTATGTAGACAGATAGCGAGGTAGACCAGAAATCGCACTGAAAGAATTTGTAAATCCCACTCCCCTGGAACGGACGAATTATCCTTGGTCGAGTGATAGGGGATCAGACGCCTATTAACTGGCGCAGGATGTGTCGGTTCCCTTTAAACATCAACCTGACAGGAGATGCCAATGGCAGGGCATGCGATGCGCGTGCCAAATGGCCGCACCCGCCCCAAACAGAAACATGGGACCCGCCTTACACGTGGATTTCCCAAAGAGGGCAACCTCGCAAGACAAACGCATGTGTAAGTCACTTGCCCAAACGAACTGAACCTAAGACGCTCACCTTTGGGCACCCCAACAAAAACTGAACCAACACAGGAAATCCGCTTCAGGTGCGCTAGAAGCTAAGCTGGCAAATCAAAATGGTACAGGGTGATTGAGTAGATGGTACAGTTCCCCTGATACATGGGCCATCTTCACCCAACAAACTGCTCACCAGACCGACCCCGCAAGCGAACTGCCCGTAGTCGTGCCTATCAGACTTCTGGGCTCCTGAGCGAATTTCAGACCTCACAACCCAAGGCGATGAAGAGAAATTTGTGCGTCATGGGTTTGACCTAATTGCATGTTGGGACGTGGGACTTGGGACTTTTGGAGATGCAAAGGATTCATAGAAAACCATGCTACTGGCAACCACAGAAGACATAAAACAAACACACACACACACACAAAAAAAAAACAACACTGACTGAGGTTCTCTTTGTTCACAGACTGCCAGAGGTACGAGTTACGTCGCTGCACGGGAGGCCGATGAGGGCATGAAAGGTCTGCCGGTGAATTGGGGCAAGATGACTCAGTTGCCCGAAGGACCCAATAATCTGGGTGAATCATAATATTTCACCAGCCTGAAACTTGCGGTGGTTGGGGGGGGGGCCATTCCAACCACATAAACCACCATTTGGGGTGAATTCGCTCGTGTGAGGTCGCTATAATTCACCCTAAAATATCTCTCTTTTTGCCTTGCATTCTGGAAAACAAAGGGACCCCCAAAAAGAAAAAACATACAAAAAAGGGGTTCTCCTCCTCCTCCGGCCGCATGGCCGTTCGGCTGCTTGCCCGCCTAGCTCACTGGCTCAAAGCCATGAGTCCGGTCCCCATCTTTGCTGCAAGGACTCCCCGGCAAAAATGAATCACTTTTTGGGGGGTTAGTGGAAAACCCAACTTGATTTAAACCAAAAAGTTGCTGACCCCTCTGCAAAACTGTTTGTAACTGGTTGTGGGTTTAGGGGGAAGACCCAACTTGATGTCAACCAAAAAGTTAATAACGTCTCAAGATCCAACCCAATAGCAGTCAAGCCATGCGAGGTTCTGGTGGAAATTACTTGGTTCCGGAAGAGCACCACGAGTGAAGCTCTTTTTGAGGGCACTTTTATGGGTGGTGTTCAAGGGGAACTGCAACCAAAAAAAAGAGCACCCTTTGGGGGGGTCCACTAAAACAAGACACGCCCACATGGAACACTTGGTGCCCCTGGTTTTTGTGGGAAACAGTTAGGGCTCGTCCCCACGCCCGCGCAACTGGACCATCGACCGCTGCCTCTGATTTCCTCCCAATCAACTTGTGATGTCGGTGGCTCGTGTGGGTGTCAGTGGTCTGGGGGGTGGCTGGTGCTTAGTTGTGCAAATGTTCAAGCAAGCAAGCAAGCAAGCAAGCAAGCAAGCAAGCAAGCAAGCAAGCAAGCAAGCAAGCAAGCAAGCAAGCAAGCAAGCAAGCAAGCAAGCAAGACAAACAAACAAACAAACAAACAAACAAACAAACAAACAAGCACAGAAGCAAATTGAAACACACAATCACACAATCACAAAAACATAGAGCACGGGAAAGGGGGCACGCGCAAACACGCAGAAACACAGAAACACACATACACAGAAACGCACATACACACACAAATACACACAAATACACACACACACACACACACACACACACACACACACACACACACACACACACACTCCTTCTGTGTCCTTTCTGGGGTGATTTAATAATCTCCATTGGCAGCCATTTTGAGATCATGTTCCTCTTTGTGTCTTTTGTTGAGACAAAAGAAAAAATGCCATTCTAGGGGTCCGAATCCTATTCAAAGAAGGGAGCCTCATGGGTGAAATCGCTTGCAAACCAACTCCCTCGGTGAGGTCGGCGTTTTGTCCAAAACTTGATCTCAGAAGAGTGGGTCTTGTTGAGTGCAACTGGCTGGAAGAGAGAGAAGATTGGGTGGAAGGCCGGAAAACCAGAAGTGTTCCTGACAGGGTTTTGATCCTTTCGGCGTCGGTGCTTCTTTTCGTCCTTTGTCAGGGATGTGGGTCTGCTTGGTCCGCTACGTAAGGGCACAGAGTAATCTGAGCGAAGCACCACGATACCACTCACCAGCGAATCAAGCTTGACTCGCAACAGGGCAACCGCCAAGAACGGGTGAAGCAAACCACCGCCCGCATACACAGCCAATTCAGAAAAACCCCAATTGAGGGGCCCTTCATCACGGATCGCTCGTTTTAATCGCTGGCTGGATAAAGTAATGTGAATCAATGTAAAAACCTGCTAGCAAAATAGTCTACCCAAAACCAACTAATGAGTTGAAACAGGCCGTATTCATGTTGGCTTGGGACTGGGCCTAACCTTCATCCCGGCTTTCATCCAGGCTCACTGGGTGGCGTAAACATGAGGCCTGTCAAACCGCAGGTCCCTTCAAGGATACCAGCCAGGTGGAAAGTCACAATAGATCTCGAGGATCCGGATCTGTGTACAGGTCCTTTCGATGCATCTTTCAAGGAATTTTGGTCTGGGTGGTCCCTACGGGGGCATGGTCCATGGGTTCCAAGAAGGGCACCTTGGCTGATTTGTAGCGGTGTACGGATTGCAGACTAGGAGCTTGGGATCCCAACAAAAATCTGACCAGCCTACAGATCGTCAATATGAATTCAGCCACCCCCGCTCCGCACGAGTCGCGTCAATCTACGCCAATCCACACCAAGTCGCATCGGACCGGACGAATATACGTTATGCCGCACCGATCCACACCAATCCAGGGATCCCCCGCTGGCGCTGGCCGGCTTCGAAGAGTCTTTTTCCCGCTTGCGGCTCCGTGCAGAGTTCTTTCAACGGTCGCCCTGGGTCCGAAAAATGTGGCATCCCCGTGTCATTCAGGGACACCAAAAGGCTTTGGGACACCAAAAGGTGCGACGAGCCTGACCGCTCCACCTCGGCGAAGCTTCGACGCGAGCGGTAACCAAACCTCAATCTGAGAGGGCCACGGCCTGGGGATCCCCCGCTGAAAGCTGGACGAACTTTGAGTGGGTGAAAGACGGAAACTCCCACGAAAAACACTAAAAAGCGAAAAGGCTGAAAGGCTAAGGAACCGGATGGCTGGGAGTCCCACCAAGTCTTCAGAGGATCCTTCTCCCCTCGAAACACCGGGGGGGGGGGGGGACGTCAGAGTCCGAAGCTCTGCAAGCTGCAGGCTGAATCTAAACAGACTGACAAACCATCAGCCTCAGATGCTTGGGTCACCTGTACACGTTGGCAATTCCTGGCCACGCCGAGCCCAAAGCAAAATTATGTGCGTGCCAGCCTGTGCTGGCGGGAATGTATTTCACTCCTGGTTTGTCCGTGCGGAGTGCGAACGAGAAAAACAGTGTAGGAAAGGACGGGAAAGATGGCGGAGGCCCAAAAAATGCCAAGGTCAGCTTCAAGTTGATGAGTTCGATTTGTTCGTGACCAAGAAACACGTTTTATTTGCTGACTCTCGGCAGAAGCAGGAGCCCATGCTCGCGGCGCCTCATTTCATGAGGCCCTCCTCTTGCTGGAAGGTCCCTCAATGGCGAGCACGTCCCATGGCGACGAGCACGGCATAGCAAGGGAAGCTGGTTGAAATGGATCCGTTCCCCTTGCCATGCCCTTCACCCCCAAAAATGGAGGATTGGACATTTGGCTGTGGTCAAAACCGTACGGGATCCCATGGTTGGTAGGTGCATTCACCACCGAAATTTTAGGTTACCTAGTTTAGCGGGGATTGGTTGATGTTCACTGGGGGTACGATTTGACCCATGGCCATTTCCGTCCGGACAGCCACTCCCAAACAGATGGTGGAGTCTGCAACCCTCCTAGGCCAGTTGGCCAGTTGGCTCGGTCGGCTCAGTCGGCTCAGTCGGCCACACCGCGCTCTCATAGGTGGCCTTTTGGAAAAATAGATGGCCCTGGTAGCTGGAATTACTTATAATACACTCATCTAAACCAGTGGAACCCCTCAATTCTTTTTCAGCCAACCAACCAAGAAGATCAATGGAATAAACCCCTCTATTTTAAACAAACCTATTTGAACCCCTCTATTTTTCAGCAAACCAGCCAAAAAGAACACCTAATTTTGCGCGCCTCTCTTTCCCTCACGCGTAGAAGACCTCGACTTCCTTCGAGAATGCCACCTTCCGAGTTCGCCGGGTCTCGAGCTCTTGCCTCGGATCGAGTCGCAAGAGACGGGACGGATGGACGGGATCCGAGGGGATCCACGCACCAACTTGGGACGCCTGGCTGTTAGGGATGTTGTAGTGTTTTTGTGTGTTGTTGTTGTGTTGTTCTTTTAATATATCCATAGTTATTATTAGTATTATTATTATTACTATTATTATTATGATCATTATTAGTATTATTGATATTATTACTAGTATTACTAGTGTTGTTATTATTATGTTTATGATTAATTATTTGTTTTTTTATTATTATTATGGGTATTATTTCTTTTATTAGTATTATTATTATGGATATTATTGCTTTTATTATTATTATTATCATTATTATTATTACTATTATTAATATTATTATGTTATTATCATTATTATTAATTATTATATTCAATTATTATTAGTATTATTATTATTATTATTATTATTATTATTATTATTAATATTATTATTATTATTACTATTATTATTATTATTATTATTATTCGTATTACTAGTATTATTATTATTATTAGTATTATTAGTATTCTTATTATTATTATTATTATTATTATTATTATTATTATTATTATTATTATTATTATGATGATTATGATTATGATTATGATTATTATTATTATTATTATTATTATTATTATTTTTATTATTATTATTATTATTATTATTATTATTATTATTATTATTATTATTATTATTATTATTATTACTATTACTATTATTATTATTATTGTTATTATTATTATTATTATGATTATTATTATTATTATTATTATTATTATTATTATTATTATTATTATTATTATTATTATTATTATTATTATTATTATTAATATTATTATTATTATTAGAATTACTATTATTATTATTATTATTATTATTATTATTATTATTATCATTATCATTATTATTATTATTATTCTGGCGGCCTTGATGCATCAAAAAGGGAGCCACAACTTTTGGGAACCCCGAAAGGGCACATACCCGTCTTCATACTAGGGTGAACCTCACCAATTCCAACTCTCAGAGGCTTGGGGCAATTTGTTTTGTGCCGGTCCGGGGACAATCCCATCCAACCGGAACCAAACCAGCAAGAGACCCAGAATCTGAAAGGAAGCACTAGGGTTCAAATACGAGGGTCCTTCAACCATTCTTAGTTGCGGGGTCCTACTTTGGCCTTATCCTTCAATGGGCCTCTTGAAAGACTTATCTGTCCGGAAGACCTTTCTAAACAAACCCCCCCGATTTCTGGGGAGGCCGTACCAAAACCACCAACTTGAAAGGAGTTCAGTACCCCTGCGTCCTTTTGGAATTCCATATGATTGGAACCTAGCGGAAACCCAATGTTTCAACCAGACCCAAACCGACACTCTGGGTTTTCTCAAAGGTTATCCCACCAGCCTGTAAAAGAACTCCTTGGGCCGAGCTTTCCGCAATCAAAGCCAGATCCCCTTAGTGAGAAAAACACCCAGATGTGAGGCAAAAAAAGACCTGGGACTGCGGCGAATCCTGGGCTTGCCTGATCATCTACTACCGGGAGGTTGGAAAACACACACCATGCGTTCATTGGTTTGCTCATCCTAGCCTACCGTGACTGGGCCGACTCCTATTTTTGGTCTTTGGGGGCCCTGGGGATCTGGGGATAAGACTTTTTGCAGAAGGACGGGATGATCCTGAAATGGAGCCCAGAAAACCCGAAAAATTGGACATCATGAGATGTGTCGGTGGGAATTTCCCTCAAACAAGGGGGACATGTGACGTGTCCCGCCAATCTTTGACAACTACTCGCTGGGTAACTTTCCTCAAACAAGCCTCACCTGTTGATACTGATCATTGGAGCTTTCTCTCAGATGGTGACCCTCTGTTGGTTGGTGTAGCGGAACCAAGAGGAAATCAGGTCCACTTTTTTCAGAAACACCTCCTACTGTGCATGGTTGCAAAATCCGCGCCCGTCATCGACTGGGATGGATGAAACCCCACGTTCAACTGCTGCTAATGGGACTTTGTCCATCCGCAGTTCGTAGGGAAACGGACCCGGGTGACGAAACAACGACCTCACTTCCAAGGTTCTTTGCTCGAACCTTGCCCCCCACCCCCACCCCACCCCCACCCCACCCCCACCCCACCCCCACCCCACCCCCACCCCACCCCCACCCCACCCCCACCCCACCCCCACCCCACCCCCCAGCATTTTAACCCCAACCTCTATCGACCCAAAGGTCGCTTTCCATTTACTGGCTCCAAAACCTGAAATAAGAAGTTTCTTGGTCAAGCAATGGACCTACATGGCCATGGGCCAAAAGCCAAATCGTACCCCCAGTGAACATCAACCAATCCAACCACTAAAATAGGCTAACTAAAATTTGGGTGGTGAATTCACCTACCAACCAAAATGGGATACCGTTTAACGGCTTTGACAACCACAGCCACATCATGGTCGCTCAACCTGTACACGTCCAGGGCTCGGCTCCATGTCGTCCGGCACATCCGTCGAGCAATTGGAACCTCAAGTGGCTCATCCGGCGCCCAGCAGAAATTGAGCACATCCAAGCCACAACCCCTGGGTGGATTGAGCTATATTCCCATGATATATATATATATATATATATGTATGTACATATATGTACATATTCATATTTACATATACATACATTTATTAGTCCTACGAAAAACAGAAAGAAAAGAGATTACCTTTTGCGCAAGCACGGGGCATGCTTGCCTCCGCCCAAAATCCGTTGGAGACCCTGGTCTGCGGTTGCTTTCATGGGCCTCCCCTTTATCTCAACCCCCCGCTTCGCGTCCATTCGATCCGCTCTGACATGGGACGGCGGACGGGGTGTCTTTTCTCAAACGTCCCGTCCTTCTGTGTGGTTTGTTTTGCGTCGCTGCCTGGACCCTCAACAACTCGTCCCGTGCTCTTGTGTGTGTTTTTTTCTTCTTCTCTTTTTTTGCGGGGCTGCCAAAGACCCTCAAAGCCTGGCCTCCCACAAATCCCATCGTAACGAGAGGTCCTTTGAGTCGCGCCATGAGGTTTTGGTGAAGATCATTCACCAAGCCCCAGGTGTTTTCTGGGCTTCCGAGCCTAGGAATCTCTCCTTTCGAACAGAGCAATGTGGGGGCCTTTGTTGAAAAGCATTATTTCTTGGAACGACTGGAAAAGGAATTCACCGGTAATCGCGTCAAGGCAAGGGTCTGCAAGTCTGGATTGGGCCCCCCGGAAAATGAGGTAGGTTGTTTTGAGAGTTTGGGGTGGCAAGCACCATGTTTCCAAAAAGTTCAAGGGTTCTTTCGGTCAAACCAAAGAAAAACCAAGGTTTTTAGGAATCAACCACTAAACCCGTACAAAACTCATCATTCACAGAAGGGGTTCGCCTGGTTTTAGGCAGACAGGGGTTTACAGGTAGGTGGTTAGGTGGTTGTGGCCCTGATTCATGATTTGAGGGAGTTGGTCAACATTGTATGGCTTGATTGTGGCAAGCCTGAAACACGATCAACATGTGCGACTCCCGCAACGGACATGGGGCAATTCGTTTTGTCTTTTCTCGGAAAGTGTTGCGAGTCCTCCAATGCCCCATAGTCCAAAACCTGACTAAGAATCGAATCCCCCCACATGGTGCCCTCATCGGTGCGTGTACTTTAATCGCAGACTTCTTCCACCAGGTGTCCCTAGCGAAGCTCGAAAGTCACAACTCCAAAAAATTGCCCGAGCATTGGGCCCTCCAAGACTTGTTTTTGAAGGATCCAGGTCCAAGTTCTCCATAGGGGTGATTTGCGCCTGGGGGGAAAGTCCTGCTGTGCTTGGGTGCTGTCGTGGCAGGTGCTGCCGTGGCAGGTCGATACCCTCCCGAAAACAAGCCTGGAACCTCATCCTCCATTTGCTGAAGTCCCCTGAAAATGATGATAGAAATACCTCCAGTAGTAACATAGTCCCTCTAAAACAGGAGAAAATCACACATACTCTTCAGCAAACGGAACCTCGCGGTGTGTTTTTTGGACTCACTCAATCCGAGGCGCCGATGCTGTCGGACCGGATACACTGCTTGTCCTCCCGACCGAACTCGATTCGACCGTTCTGATGAATGAGCTGGAGGTGACCCTCCCGATTCGGGTTTCGGGTTTCGGGTTTAGCAGGGATCCTTACATTGTACACCTGAACATTGCCTCGCAAATTAAGGTTTCCCTTTATTTTGGTGGAAAAAGCCATGTTTCAAATGGTTGCAAAATGTATCTTTTAAGGAGCCCTGTTTAGGGTTTAGGGTTTCGGGTTCCCATCCACCAACTTGGAACCTGACTGGGTCCTGGAAGACCCTTTGGTCCTGAAAGACGAGGCCCTCTTGGGCTTCATATCAGTCTGAGGAGGTTTAATCACGGATCCGACCCCCCTTCCTCCTGTCTCCTCAAGTTTCCAAAAATACCCTCCAGGTGGACTTCCCATCAGGAAACCGGGCACCGTTTTGTCTCCGGGAAAACTTGGCGTCTCTTGGGGGAAACCATCCAGTGGGTTCCCTTTACTTCGCTAAACCGCCGCACGGCCCCGTCTCCCATCGGAGAATTGGAGGCTCGAGAAAAAAAGAAGAAAAAAAACGCAACACTTCGTCTCCTCCGAGTTGATTCATGTTGGCCCCCAAGAAAGCACACCGGCAAAAAAAAGTCGCACACCCGCTCGGTCATTCGATCAAGGGTTTGATAAACTGAGAGCTTTTGGTGGATCTCCGAATGGGAGTTCTGCCCCATGCAAATTGTTCCAACCAAACACACTCTACACAAGATCAGAAAAGGAACAATCCGGACACGAGCAGTAAAAATAAAACACGTGCTTGGGTGTCATTTTTTACTGGTTACAGTATGTTCAACAAACCTTGAGTGTTATTTTTTACTGGTTACAATCTGTTCAACAACAAAAATCAGCAAGTGGTTTGGTGGTTTGAATATTGGTGGTTCAGGAGCGGTGTCCCATGAACCGAAATACAAGAAACAGAGGGTTAACATCAGAGAAAACCATTTACCGTCCTACAAGAAACAGGGTTAAAATCAGAGAAAGAAACCCACTCCAAAGCACTGATTAAGAGTTACCTGATCTGGGCTGTCCGTTTTCGGATCCGCTAAAGGTGACTAAAACTGTTCGCTGGTTAAATGGACATCCAACCACTAAACGCTAAAAGGCTAAACAGCGAAGGACCCGGATGGCTGGGAGCCCCTGCCTGACGACGGGGCAATTTGCTGAGCGCTGCCGTCAGCTTCGCCTTGCGACTGGCGGATCCACAAGTCCTCCATTGCCACTCCTTTTAAAACCAACAAAGGGAAAATAAAACAAATGTTCGACAGTCAGCTGGGGTTGTCTTTTTGGAGGAAGTGGAGGGGTCGGCTTCCCCAAAAACCATTTGGGGGGCGTTCGCTCCCTTGGTTTTGTGAGTTGGGGAAAACCCGTTGGCGCATCTTGCTACCAGCCCCGACACTTTTATCAGCCCCAATTCAACACAAGACCCCCTCATATGGCTGTGGCTCAAAAAAGTGGTACCAAAATGGAACCTTGGACCAACACCTGCGGTTTGCCCCTCCGATCGTTTCATTTCGAGCCACACCCATATGATCTGCTCAACTAAAATTTCTGTTTTGGCTTTCCGGTTGGCTTTCGGCGGGTGGGGTCGGATTCGTGAACCCCGCATCAGCATCAAGTTGATACGTGGGTTTGGGGGCTGACTAGTGGGGGGGCCTGGGAGGCGAAAACTGGCCCCAAACCGACCCAACTGCAACCCTAAACCACACAGCAGCCTGGAGATCAACCTTTGCCAGGCCAAATGAACCCCAAACAAAACCCGAGACCCGCCTCATTTAGATCCCAAAACTAAACCAGCTGCGCGGTCCCAGCTTCCAATCGTCAAAGGAGCCCTAGACATGGAGCACACATGGGTGGTGTTCCTTTGGTCTCTCTTGCAACCCTCAAAAAGGCGTTGTTCCTGCCAAACGCCAATGTTTCTCGGTTGCTTTCTGCTCCCCTGCTAAAGGTTAACTTTTAGTGGTTCAATAGGGAAAACCCATTAGTTGGCAAAAAGTTAAAGTCCTAACATCCAAGCAAAATGCACCAAAGGTTTCATCAAACCCCTGGCCCCATGGCTCACTTCGCAATCCGTACCGTTGGGCCAAAATTCCCTCAAATGCCGCCCCAAAGCCAATGTGCGCAATGAAGTAGTCCATCTCTCAACCCGCACGCCAAGGTAGCCTTGAGTCCCTCCATGACCTGTAAAGAGGTCATCTTAAGCCAAGGTTCAACCAAAACCGAGGGTTAATGATGTGCGAGGTCCTCGTCCCTTCCAAACACCCACAAAAAGGATACCATCAAAAAAGGACATGCCCGCCGAGCAAAGGGCAAACCACCAGGGTCTGTCTCAAAAACGACACCAGCCCAAAAGAAAGACAAGAAGAGAGCGTGATTTCTCCTTCGCCCCTTCAAAACCGAATGGGTACATGAGCAAAAAAGACGGCGGATATGTCCAACATCAACACTGGCTCCTTACGCTGCTCCCCATGTTTAAGGTGTGGCTTGGCGCCAAAAGGCGTGTCCCCGCGATGTTGCTTTCACTGAAGGTGCCGTGCATTTGGAGCGGCTCTAGCCGAGCACCCAGCACGCGCGTTTGGAAACACATGTCCGTGGGTCAAAAGCCAAATCGTACCCCCAGTGAACATCCCAATCCAACCACTAAAATAGGTTCTAAAATGGGTGGTGCACCTACCATTGGTTTTGACCCACCGCCACATCGGGGAAACTCCATTCACCCGGTCCGAGTCTGCAGAACCTTGTCAAAAACACCGTTGACGCGCGGGTGTTTGAAAAGAACGTCGGTTGAACAGCGGGTTTGGAATCAACCACGCTTAGGCCAGCCCCAAAAATGTTGGGATCAACCGAATAGAAAAACAGCGCCTGCCTTGGCCTGCACCATCTCACTCTTTAGTGCGATGAGCTGATCTGGCGTCATGAGTTCCTTGGCACAAGCATTGTAACTCGCCGAGCAAGACGGCGAAAGCAGACTCGTGCCTCTTCTCTTACTACCCCCACCAGGATTGGCCTAAATTCTGAGTGATTTCGTGCAGATTGACGTGATCCGACCAGAGAATTCCTGACAAGAGACATGGAGCGGACTCAAAATAGAGGAACCCCTCCCCCCGCCCTGACGGCCGCGAACTCCGAAAAATCCGTGGAGCGCCGGCCGAGCCGCGACCAGCTCCGCCGTCGCCGCGCAGGCCACGTGCAGGGCCTGGCCCTGAAACACCTCGTGGCAGCCGCTGGACCCCTTGACCCAGTGTGGCCTCCATCAGCGTTTTCGTCCCCTGGAAAAAATAGCGAAATAGTTCCAGTAGTGAAATCGACGCCTGTGATACCAAAGTGGGCCATGCCTGTGATTGGTTTGTCATTTTAAACGGGCTGCCCCTTCATAGCACGGAAAATTGCCTCAATCCCAGCTTTCCAAGCATGGCTTCTCCCCAAAGAGCGGGACCCAAATGGTTGGGCTTTCCTCTGCCTTCGACTGTATCCAAACGAAACGGATTCAACAACAGGGGAAAATAAAACATATTCTTAACCAAATGGAAGGTGGGTGGCCGCGGGAACCCCAGAAATCCGTCGCTCGCGTTGATTGAAGCTTCAAGGGTCCCTTGACACCAACCTGAAAGGGCACCCTTAAACACAATTAGATGTAAAAACGACATGTGCATTTGCGTATAAACTATACTCGGTGGCTTTCTGCTCCCCTGCGCAAGAAGTGCTTAACTTTTGGTGGTTAATAGGGAAACCCCGTTCGTCCTAACATCCAGGCAAGATGCACCAAAGATTCCGTCTGTCACGTTTTAGGAAGCTTCAAGGTCCCTGACCATACCAACCTCCCAAGACTGAAAAAGCTTTGGCGGCATGAACGAGATTGATTGACAAGCGCATGTTTGAGGACACTTGGCTCAAATAAACGCGGCTAGGATACCAGCTGGGCAGTGAAAACACCCCTACCAGCAATTGGGAGGATCCGAAGCCTAAGCAGGCCTTTGTGGATGTACAGTATCCACCGGAACCCTGGCCAGCCAGCAAATCCGCCAACCAACCAGCCGCAAACTTGTAGGGCCTTGCAACCAACCAACGGGCACGCTTTCCGCCGTTGATTTTGTATGGGGGTCCAAGCAAAGGCCAACCTGCAAGTACCTCCGCGTTCAGACGGTCCACGAGCAGTACAGTTAGACAAAATGCGGGAGCTTAAGAAATGGCCATCTTGCGAATAGATTGGTTACTCGCCCAAGGTGGAGGGTCTTCCAACGTAGGTTCTGGCTGATTCCATGCGCTGTTTGTGCCCGTGCTGCCGTTTTGCGAGAGGTACGAAACCCCGATCGGCGCAGGTTCCCGCAAAGGGAAAAGAAAAACCCTTCCAGCAATGTTCTCCTTCGAAGCCCTTTGTTTGGTTGTCTTTTCAAAGCAGCCGTGACCCTTTGGCGTTTTTATTTTTGCTTCTGCACCCCAAGCCATACGTTTTTGACGTGACCCATGGAACGGGTCCGAGTTAAGGGCTCCAAGGGTTCAGGGACCTTCCAAGTTCGGGGACCCCAAAGTAATCCGGCACTCCGCATCTCTGGGCAGCTACCCCACGTTTTTGGGGGGTGTTCCCTCCAAAAGTGGTCTGAATCCTCCACTAAAAGGGGACACCCCCCAAAAAACCAACCAGGGGTTTATTAATCCTGGGTCAACATTACCTCTCTCAGCACCTACTCAATCAAGGGCCTAAAAGACGCAACCCCGGAATCCCAAGAAAAGGGGGGTTGCTTCCCTGTCCATTCTTTTCAACCATCCTTCTTTTCAAAAACCGGATCTGTTCCCCTGGGTTTTTGGTGGTTTCCTGAAAAGATTCGGATCCCTGGAAAGAATGGACATGGAAGGTACCCCCAGAAGCTACAATAAGGGTACCCTATCTTCTGTAGTCTATTTTAGTAGGGGAACCCTCCCAACCAGAAAAGTTGGTGCGAAAGGGCACCTAGCATGGGGGACCTAGCCAGTTTCAACGGGAAACCACCGCCAGACCTCTAAACCCGTCCCACTATTAGGGGGGAATCCCCCACTAAAAGGGGACAACCCCCAAAAAATCAACCAGGGATTTATTAATCCTGGGTCAACATTACCTCTCTCAGCACCTACTCAATCAAGGGTCTAAAAAACGTAACAACCCCTATTTAACCAAAAAAAGAAGAAAAAACCACAGAAACTCCAGTTCAAAGGGGAGACCACCGAGCCATCCCTCGCACCAGCAACCACTGGCCTCGTTGGCCACGACCACCGCGCCGCTCTCAGCGCTCTCGGCCCCGTCGGAGTAGACGTAGTCGCAGGCACTCAGCAGCCGCGCCGCCGCCGCGTCCGGAACTCCCATGGCGATGCCTACCTCGGCGTCAGGCGAGTCGGGTGAGTCGGGTGAGCTGTGCCCCCGAAGAAGGTATCCAAAGCCAGGCACGTTTTGGAGAAACGCAACCCAAAACCCAGTGGGGATGTCAATGTGTTTTTTGGAGCTACCCTGAGTCACAATCAAAACCGGGTACTAAAATGGTCTACCCAGAAACATGTAAAGAAATCAGAAGGCGGAGATCCGCAGCTATTTCTGGCTGGGATTGTCCCTTACTACCTTCATCTACCCGAATCGGTTTTGATTGTGGCTCAGGTGACCTGTGCCCCGAAGGCATCCAAGGAGGCAACTTTTGGAGAAAGGCAACCCAAAACCCATTGGTGGTTGGTAAATACTATGGTGGTAACACTCAACCACCTAAGATGGCCCCCCAAGGCGGGGGGGGGGGGAATTACTATGGTACCCCAACGATATTTCCCTTCATCCACTCCCTGGCTCCCTGGACGAGCAACCAAATAAAGGCTGGAAAAGGGGGTCCAACCTCGGAGTGCAAGCTGAAACCGAAACCTCTGGCTTTCTTTGGACTCCTTCACATTACTCTCTTGCTCCTCAAACCACAAAGTAAGCCCCAATGATATGCCTTCTTTTGGCTGGTTTGTCTTAAAGTGGTTTGATAGTTGTGGCCTTTCCATAGTCGGATGGTTTGAGGCATCAACTTCTTTGCCACTATCAACGGAGTTTCCCTTGAAAAAGCCGTGTTTTAGCTCGGACATCATGGAATTCAATATGCTTGACCTACCTTTTTTGTGAACTCTTGGCCTGGTATGGCACACGTGCATACAAGCACGCTTCGAATGCGGAGTTGGTGAAGACATCTCAAACACCAGTCTTAGGTCATTGAGGGCTCCTTTGCCAATATGCAAAAGGGTGATGCACAAACTCCGCCAGCGGATCGAGCCTCTTTGCTCTCTTTGGCCCTCTTAGCCCCTTTTTAACCACGTCTTCGCCCCATGCTCGTCGTTTTTCGCCGCAGGTTCGCCCCCAAGAACAACCTTCTTAGGTGAGCACGCTTCACGCTGCCTCTCAGCGCCAGAAGAAACTCCCTCTCTGCCCTCCCAAGAGAAACATCCGGCTGGACCCTCCCACCAACATGGGTTGGTGCTCCAAGCCCCGGGCAATTTTTCCCACCGGACCTTCATGAAATCGGTTCTACCTCTGTTCCTACGGAGCCCTGGAATCCTTCAGGTCGATCTGTTCATGAAAGGTCCCAAAACATGACTGGCGCAAACCCGCTTGCCAAAAGCTGGTGGAACCTTTCAGCTCCTGCAATTAAGATATTGGAAAAAGGAGTGAGCTCCATGTCTCTCCCAAATGTCTTAAAGACAAATCAGATATATTGATCCCTTCTTTCAGAGGTTCCTCCCTTTGAAACCACCCAACCACTATAACCCTCATGAAACCCACATGAGCCACAGACAAAACCCGGTATTAAAATGGTCTATCCAAAGCCATGTAAAGAATTCAGAAGGCGGATATCCGCAGCTATTTATTGTTGGGATCGTCCCTTTCCAACCTTCATCTACCCGGGTTTTGCTTGTGGCTCAGGGAAACCTCGGTTGCTTTCTGCTCCCCTGCCAAGAGTTTAATTTAACTTTTAGTGGTTCAATAGGGAAAACCCATTAGTTGGCAAAAAGTTAAAGTCCTAACATCCCTTGGCAAAATGCACCGAAGAAACCCAGGTGTTAGAAGCAAAGGGACCGGAAAAACGTCGTTAAGCGCAAGCCAAGCGCCACAGGCTGTCGTGTGGTGCGTAGCGCCTCTAAAAGCTCCTCCAGGCTCCCCTGGCGCGCGTTCCGGCTCAATAACCTCCATTTACGTGTTCGTCCCCTGGAAGAAAATGAGTTCTTTTTTCCAGTAGTGAAATCGATTCTGTTTGAAACCAACAGGGGAAAATTAAAAAAATCATAGTCTTGACCAAATGGAAGATAAAGATGTCAATGTGCTTCTTGGAGTTACCCTGCTTGTTGGTTGAAGTGGTAGCCAAAAGGAACACAATATAAAAGGTTCGCTGGCAAATGCTGCGAATGAACGAAAACCACTTCAGTTGGTAGATGTGTTTCTCCCAATACACCAAAACAAAACGAAGCGAGCCATGCGAAAGCAAGGCCAAAATAAACTCCGAACCCAAAGTGAAGACTTCTCAAGCACAAAAAACTGCAACCTCTGCCTAACCAAACATCTGGTCTAAAGCCTGTTGGACACCACGTTCTTCATCTTTGTTTCGGTAAACCACACCTGGCCTCGGTACCTCGTTTGGCTTGGGCAAGCTTGTTGGAAAATAACAAACCCCTGGTCTGCAACGGGAGCCAACATGGCAACCAACCCATGTTCGAGTCGGAAAGCCGCACTCACACTGCAAAAATCACGCAAGGGCCAGGAGTTGGGCAACCCTGCTCCCTGGCATGCAACAGATTGCCAAATCCAGCGGCAGCTTGATTGTAGCACAGTCACAGGCTCAACAAAGACAACACATTCGAGCACCAGAATAAAGCTCAGAGCAAAACAATCTCTCGCAACGCACGTCGGCAACACATCAACTTACAAACCCTGCATAACTTACAAGATGATAGATAGATGATGCTGAGAATGAAATAGCATCCATAATCGCATCACCAGCATCACCAGAATCACCGGCATCACTGGCATCACCGACATCATTAGAATTACCAACATCACTAGCATCACGAGCATTGCTAGCATCACTAGCATCAATAGAATTACCAACATCACTAACATCGCTAGCATCGCTAGCATCGATAGCATCGCCAACATCACCCCCATGCCCGACGCTCCCCGGCACTGCATGCCCACCTCACACTATGCCGAAAAAACCCCTCGAAACCACCCACCCCCCACGAGCCACTTCTGCGCCCACATCTCCTGCAACACCATCATTCCATGAGCCCCAAACCATGGGGAGTCCCCTAACAAGCCATGGACGACCCCAATTTCAACGCTTGGGGCTGGTCTCAGCTTATGAAACTGCCTGCACGTGTTGCAGGCGGCCAACCACCCAAAGGAATAGAGCAGGCGCGGAGTCAGCTGCGTTCAACCTGAGGCGTGCGCCCAACCAGTCCCTTGCACTTGTTCATGAACTCTATGAATCCCAGCACGGCTACGATTCCATGATCGTTTCAGGTGGGGGAGTGGTTGAACATCCCACTTGTTTAGCATTTTTTGGCTGGATTCTTGGTGGTTGAAGGTCAAAGATCCCATCAGTGCAACGACGCGAGTCACCATGCAATGCACAGGCTGCAAGGAACTCAGCGGGCTGAGCGGGATTCAAAGTGGTAACACCTGGCTTCCCTTTGGCTTCCCCTGAAAGGACGCCCAAAAAGGCACCCTCCAAAAATACCCCGGGTGGCCACAAGAGGCCCTTGCAGCTTGGTCGGTCCCTGACACTCCCCGTTGCCAAGGCGCTCGGCGACTTGACCAACGATCTGCTGAAAAGCAAAGCTGTCAGTGGACTTGTCCAGCACGGCGGCGGTCACGGTTCGGCCCATGCTCCGATCTCCTGAACCAGGACTTCAGGAATTTCCCCAGTTCGCGGATCCGCAAGGACAAACCCCCGGTTTGAACATTGGTGTGTTGATGACAACGTCCATGGAAAAATCTGCTTGTCAAAGTCTGCCAGTTCCTTTGGGGAGTGGAAAGTCTGCTGGGATTTTTTTGGGAGCGGAGGGAAGCACTTCCAGCCATCCTCCTGGTAGCCGGTGCCAAACTTTGTTTTGCTTCTACTTCACCTCAAAAAAAAAAAAGTGAAGAAATCTTCTTGCAATGGTTGCAATGGTTGCAATACTCAACCTTGCAATGGTGCTCCGATTTACCCAGGTAGAAAGCTGCTACAAAGTTGCTACGGTTGCCAATGTCCAAAAGCCGTCATTGGGGAAAACCGGGTGAAAAAGTTTCCGAGTTTCCGGTACCGTAGAGTTCTGCATTGAGTTCGACACACCCAAAAAAAGGCCAGAGGAAACCGAACAAGAAAAATCCAACCAATGTCTCCTTTCTAGGCCCTTGCTCGGTTTCAAGGAGACCACAAAAAGGGAAACAACTGCTTTTGGCCTTCCCCGGATTTTAACACGACTCTTCAAAGCACCACATTGGTGCTACTGGTACCTTAATCGCGAAACGGTGCATCCTTTACGCCGCATAAGGATTAGTGCCAAAATGGGAGGATTGCCCAGCTCCACTGGGCAGCTCCCCTCAGCAGCTGATGGGAGTAGAATTGATGCCACTCCCACAGCGAGGGAGGAATCCTCCCACCTCACCGGATGCCCTCCCGGCATCATGGGTGAGGAAGGAAAGTAGCGAAGATCAGCTTGATCAATTCGCTTTCGACTGAGGGGAAGACCCGGTTCTCAGTCGGAAATTGCGGGTCCGGATGAGTAAGTTCATCCGCCCATGTGTTAAAGTCGCGCTTCACATGCGACGGTCCTAACATGACCTGGTGGTCATGCAGTGTTAACACAATTTCCATGAGGATGGCCGCATTGGGCATCCTGCGAGTGGAATCGTTAAGCAGGGAGAAAACGTTTCCCTGGTTATCACTAGCAACCAGAATCCTAGTGTGAGAAGCCGAGCCGGCTGCACAAAGCAGAACAGCCCTCACCAAAAGGAGGAGGCCGAAGAGCTCCAAGGCCGCTATCGCCCGCTGCGGGTCCCCAGTAGTGAAGGCCCACGGCTCGCCCTCCGGTGTGATTCTGTGTTGGAACCACTTCACTCGGGACTTGTCGGGGTTGGGCACGTCCGAGCACCAACCACCAACCCATGCATGGTCCGCCTGTTTGCCAGCTCCCGCATCAGATGCCCCCGTCCATGGAAGTGTGGGAGCAAATGGAGATGCCAGTGGGAACCTCTGGTTGAAGAGCTTCCCCAGAAGGATGGCCAGAGCACGAACCAGCTTCGGTGGCCTGCCCGAAGTGGTGCAGGCCTTCTTCCAGCTCCAAAAGGGCTGGAGGAAAGGTTTCGTCAATGGACACGCCGAAGTAGCCCATTGAATCCGGCCCAGGGCTTGTTCCACCTCCTTGCTGGTAAAGATGTCCCCCTGGGCCAGCCGTTTGAGAGTGGCCAGGATTATGACGTGCTTGACTGGAGCCAGCAGCACACAGGGCGTGATTGGGTCCACCACGAATCCCAACCAGGTATTGACCGGGGAGAGCGCCGTCTTCTTCCAAGAAAGCGGGACTCCCAGCGCCAGAAGAGTGGCCAGGATGGCTGTGGCGTCCCAGTCCGCCCTGCTGCATCTGAGGACCCAGCAGTAGTCGTCCACAAAAACTAAGTGCCAGTCCACCTGAGGGAAGATGTAGTACAAGAGTCTGAGCACCAAGGATGCCTTTCTTCCCCAGTACAGTTGTGCCGAGGCCATGCCGTACGTGCCCACTCTATTGACCCACCACCGGTTCTGGATGCAGGCCACCTGGTATTTCCAGTCTTTCTGGAGCACTTTTATGCGCCTGTGGGCCTTGGTGACATCCGCCTTGAGGATGATGAAGGTTTCCCCCTGTGTCGGCGGCTGCCACGTCAGGGGTTCCCCCCTGCTCCCCCCAGGGCGTTCCGTGCCTGGGGGGGTTGGGGGGAATGGGGCCCTCCTATCAGGGCCCTCGGCACCTGAGAGTGTTGACCGCGGAGAGACGTCCAGGCCGCCGAAAATCTCCATCATCCGCCTGCCTTTTTTTTTCGGGGCCCTCGGCACCTGGGGGCAGGCTGGTGTTGTGGGGGTCCCTCTCAGGGCCCTCGGCACCTGGGGACTGCCCCTGCACCGGCTGGTGAACATCCCGAGGTTCCTCATCAGTGCCCGAGGATGGGGCTCGGAGTAGATGAGGATGGTCCGCCGCTGTCCTGAGCCAGTGGATGGCATGGAGGCAGTCTCCAACCATCGGTGCGGTGGTCTTCTCCTCCGTGTGAGCCTGGATGTGTGCGTTTGCTCCCCCTTTTGAGCCATCATAGATCGTCCTGATCTTGTCCGACTCATCAATCCCTGCAAGGGGGCCCGGGCAAAGTTCCTCCGGTTTGCAGCGGCACCTCTCTGCCGCCTCGGAGCGAGTGAAGGGCCCGTCCACCATGTCCAAGGCTCGTTCCTCGTAAAAGGTTGATTCGATTTCCTTGGCAAAGAGTTCAGCCGTTGGGTAGTTATCATGAGCCACTGGCGGGGGGGGATCTTCCCCCAGCCAGGCTTCTCCCTTAAGCTCCTCCTTAGTGGGCCAAACTCCCGGGGAGGTCAAGGTAGGGTCCGAGACTCCCAAGGGGACCCCCTCTTTCAGTGTTAGGGGGAACTCCCAATCAGGGTCACCTGAAAGGGATGCCAAGTGCGACACTAAGTCCAGGAGGAAGGGTTGTCCTGGGCATCGTTCATGGAGGTGCCTCGGTCCTAGGATAGCCCGCAGCTCCTCGTCGGCTTCCTGGAAGGGGTGTGTGGTGGCACCTGATGCCAGGGACATTCGGACCTTGTCAATCCAGGGCCGGGTAAGGGTCATGTGGGGAAGGTTTTCCCCCCCCATCCCTCAGAAGGCGTGAGCGGAAACCCAATTGGACAATCGCCACCCGGTCAGTGAGGTGTGGGACCCTGAAAGCGGGCAGGCATTCGGGGCGGTCCAGGACCTGGTCCCCCTGTCCCTCCTTCCCCAGTTGTTCCGCATCTCCGGCCATCGGGGGCATGGGAGATGGGAAGTCTGGGTTCATTGTTCCACGAGGGCTTACGGTGTCTGCCTCAGGGTGGAACTGCCCGTGCAGGCGGGGCTTCGGGGCGTTCTTGCCTCCGGGCTTTGAGCCCTGGTGTGATGAGGAGGGACCGCCTCCTTGACTGGGCCCCCGTTTTCCCCGGGGGGAATGGCCTTCCGGGGGGTCCGACCCCCGCCCCTTAGGTGGTTCCTTGGGGTTTCCCGGAAATTGTGAGGGGATCCGGATGTGCCCCGGCGCTGCGAGTGACACAGCGATGGCTTTGGCCAGGCCTGCCATCATATCCCAAGGGTATCTGCTAAGAGTCGAGGACTCGTTGGTGCCCACATGTGACTGATGCGTGCACCGCATTTGATCCCAGTCCTGGATCGGGAGATCCGTGGCCAGCGTAGTGGCCTTCTTGACCAGCTGGCCCAGGCGGCACTGGTCGAAGGAGATTGCTGTCAAGGAGTTCTCCTCCATCCAAAGCTGCCCCTCCTCTGTGATCCAGAAGGATGAGCATTCCTTGGCTTTGGGCAGCGAGCTGCTCACCACTGGGTCCTCCGGGTGTTCCAGGAAGGACCTGGGCCCTGGCAGAGAAACCGCCGCTCGTGAGGCCCTTGCCAGGCTGGTGATGTACATCTGTCTCAGAATGAGGATGCTGTCATCATCAAGTTGAGTCTGGGCGGCCTGGTCCAGGTGTGGAAGGCCCCAAAGTGTCTCTGGAGTGCGCCCTCGCACCGGGGTGGGAGCCCCCGGTTTTGGTATGTGGCGCAGGATGGACCATGTCCTGCAGTTGGGTCCTCCTCCAATGAAGACCACTCGGCCCTGCTTTGCTGCCGTGCAAAGAGCTCCATACAGCTCGGGTTGGAGCATATCGTGGTCCCCTTTTGGTCCAGACCGTAGGATGTCTACCGCCACCACCATGCTGGAAAGGTGTGGGTAGTTGGCATGAAGACAGCTGTCCAAGGAAGTTGGGTCTTCCTTGCCTGCATAGAGCAGGACAATGATGGGCCCACTGGGTGGAACTTTGGGCGATGTGCCCTGTGTCCATCTCAGCCGCTGTACCAGACGCTCAGGGATGTTCTCCATCCACGGGAAGATGTCCAATTGGCCCCCTTCATTCAGCCCCACCGAGCTCTTGTGGAAAACCACCGGGTCCTGCTTGATGATGTTGGGCGCCGGGAGTGGGATCGGCTGCTTCCTGGGAGTGTCCCTTGGCGTTGCGGTGTGCTGCCAGTCATCCGGCACGCGGGCCTTCTGGGTGCGGCCCCCCGTGTCAGGGCCCTCGGCACCTGCGGGGAACCGTCCCGTCCCCGCCATATCAGGGCCCTCGGCACCTGTGGCTCGGGACTGAGGCGCCGCCGTTGTGCCGGTTGTGTGGCTGTTCTGATCACGGCGAGGGCGTTGTGCACGCTGGTTCTGCCGTCCCCATCCTTGTTCCGCCGAGGATGGCCGCCACCTGGCCTGTCCCCCCCCTGTGTCAGGGCCCTCGGCACCTGCAGGAGGGGGCTTCTGTGCCTGCTTGGGGCGTTTGCGCCCCTTCTCGCCCCCCCGGGCCTTATCAGGGCCCTCGGCACCTGAGGCCTCCCGGGGGGTAGGGGTCAGCGCCCCTAGTCAACCCGGGCAGTCCTGCGGGAGGTGGTCCCCCAGGCAGATGCGGCCCATTGCCAGGATGAGGTTGCACTTGTGGGTGCGGCCGCAGTTGCCCGGGCAGCGCCCGCGCATCCAGTTGTTACAGAACTGGTTCCCTTTCGGGTCGGTGGCTGCCTGCTTGTTACCGCCCCGGGACGCCTGATTGTTCAGGTGGGGGGTCTTACCCTTCCCTTTGTTCCCAGGCTTGCCCTTGGACTTCCCCTTGCCCTTGGACTTGTTCTTGCCCTTCTGAGGTGGTGCGTAGTCCATGGATGTCCTGGTTGATGGGCGGCCCCTGGAAAAGGTCTTGATCTTCTCATAGACCTCACGTGTCCAGAACAATGTGTCCTGCCTGACCGACAGCATGGCCGCCTTGAGGGTGTTGCCCTCATGCATCTTCTCGTGAATCTTTCGCCATGCGTTGCGTTCGGCAATTGCCAGGACGTGGTCCTCTGGCGGGGGAAAACGGCCCCCGATGTCCTCACCATAGAACCACTCGTACCAGCTCTCCAAGTCCTCCCGGGTGATGTCGAACTGGCCGAACTGCGGGAACGAGAGGACGCACATGAGGAGGGTGTTGCGGAACACCGCGTGCATCCTCTCGAGCTGGTGGCGAGTTTTGGGCTCGCCCCGCTCTTCCACCTCATCCTCCCGGTCCCAGCCATCAACCGTGCTCTTCTTAGTGGTCTTCCATGGCCGTTCTCCTGGCTCCGGGAGTGCGCTTACCAGGTATTTCATGGGGATGAAACCGATCTCGCCTCCTGCGCAGAGCTTGAACTGGCGCTTCACCAGCTGGTCGCTTCCTTGAAGGGCCAGCTTGGGTTTGGTGAGCTTGGTCTTCTCCTCCCAAACCCTCTCCAGCTGTCCCCGTTCGCACGAGACCGTGAGATTCGGGGCGGTGTCCCCGGGCGTGTGTGGCCCGGGTCCCGCTGTTGCATGCGCCCCAACTCCCATGGATCGTTGAGCCGCGTGAACCACCTGGAACATGCGGGCCGCGATCAGCCGGGAGGTCACATCCGTGTAGTGGTGGTTGTTGGGGGCGAAGCCCAACTCCCCCGGCGCCGTCTCCCTTGCACGGTCGGGCGAGTCCCACCGGGTCGCGAGGTCCTCCATCGAGACAAAGCCCTCATCCGACAGTGTCGCCTGGATGAACCACGGGATGCCCTTGAGGACCATGAGGTTCCTGGCGGTCTTGTGGAGCTTAGCCACTGCGTCCGTGTACACTCCAGGAACTTCCTGTGGTGGTGCCACCAACTCATCTGGTGTCACCGCCATGGTGTGGGTGGGCGGGATTTCAAATCACAAGACAAAAGATCAAAAGGTCCACTTGAGCCAAAATGGTGGCCCAAGTGGATACTTATTAAGAGTCAAGACAAGCGACCACCTACGGTTAACGCTTTAGCCCAGACTCTTCAAAGCACCACATTGGTGCTACTGGTACCTTAATCGCGAAACGGTGCATCCTTTACGCCGCATAAGGATTAGTGCCAAAATGGGAGGATTGCCCAGCTCCACTGGGCAGCTCCCCTCAGCAGCTGATGGGAGTAGAATTGATGCCATCCCCAACGGACGGATCGCATCAGCTGCCAATACCAACGGACGAGCTGGTCGTTGGGGAGGTCCTCCCTCCACGTATGCCGTGTGGTCCCGCTGTCGCATTTCAGGGCCCTCGGCACCTGTGCGTCCAGCGGTCCGGCTGCGGTCCACCCGGTGCGGACCCCGTCAATCCGCCGCCTGGGATGCCGGGGACATCTCAGGGCCCTCGGCACCTGTGTCCCCTGGTTCCCGGGGCACTGGCCCCCTGGGATAGGGGTGAGAACATCTCAGGGCCCTCGGCACCTGTGTCTCCCCCCCTCCAGGCCCCTTCGGGGTTGCGTGTCAGGGCCTTCGGCACCCCCGCTGGCCGCGGGGCTGGGAGCCCTCGGCACCTGCGCCCTCTCCCCCTGCCTCCTTGCCTTGAGGCATGGGGGGAAGCGTGTCAGGGCCCTCGGCACCTGCGCTATCCACCCCTCACTCAATTTCCGGGAGGACGACCGCCTCCTTGTCCGACTGAGTGTCCACGCTCTCGTCGGTGTCCGAGGAGAGGGAGATGGAGGCCTCGGAGTCCTGTGCTGCGTAGGGCTCCACGGCCATCCACGTGTTCGGGAAGGTGAAATGCCGGAAACATCTGGTGCATCCCAGGTACACCTCCGGCTCAGCATGGAAGTCCTGCTCCGCCAGCTCCGAAATCTTGAGCGGTCCCGGCCTCCAGCCGCACCCCACTGTGACTCCATCTGTGTCCAGTAGGTGCATGCTGTAAGCTTTGGTGGGACCCTTTCGGGCCGTGGTGGCTACCACCGTCAGTGGACCCCGAGGCGGGGGCACCTCATCCGCAGCCATCTTGGTGATGGCCGGCTTGTTGGCGGGGATCACATCCCAGCTGGCATTCGAGGGCGGTGTGTCCGGGACTTCCTTGAACAAGGCCTTCGGTGAGGCCGGGCACTCCACCTTGTCCTCCCAGTCCTCATGTCCGAGGTCGACTCGGACCGCCCTTCCTGCCTCGAGTTGCATGGACGGGAGCTTCTGGAGGACCTGGTCCCAGATGGAGCACACCACGTGTCGCTTCTCCCGGGTGTAGACATCCGCCGTGGACTCCTTGAACCAGTTTCCCAGGTACTGGCGCTGGTCCCTCGGTATGTGCGCCTGGAATGCCAAATCCGGCATGAAGACCCGGAAGGAGTACCATGAGAGTTCAGCCACGTCCTTGACTGGCGCGCCCTGCTTCCCCAAGGCGTCTTTGAGCCACCTCAGGGACCTGTCTGGGGTTCCTGGGCGGGGGATGAAGCCCGTCCTGTCCTTGTTGATCGTGGGGATCAGGTAGTCCATCTCGCGGAACTCCTCCGAGGCCCTGAATCTCTTCCACCACCGCTCCAAGGGGATCCACCATCTGGCCCCCGAGAAGGAGAACAATGGGGCGATGAGCGGGACCGGGTTCCGTTTGATGGCCACTGCCGACGTGGTCTTCGTTTGCCAGGCCAGCAGCTCCAGGGTGTTGCTCGTGGACTTGACCGTCTGCGGCGAGGTGTGCTGCACGTCGTTGAAGCGCGCACTGCAGGCCAGGTTGAACCTGGCCATCGCCATGATGTACCTGTCCACTGCTTTGGTCAGCTCCGGGACCCGGTTCTCCGGCGGGGCCCCTTCTGCCCCTTGTTCCAGGGCCCAAACAATTGCCCGGGTCGGAACCACCGCCTTGCGCTGTGGCTTGACCTGGGTGTCCACCAGCGTCTCCTGGATGGCTTTCCGCTTCTCCAGGAGTTGTTTGTGTTCGTCAACGTTGAGCATGCCGAGTTTAATGGAGAGCCACTTTAAAGTGCCCCACCACTTCTGGAGCTTCGCCGGGGTGACCTCCAACGTGACCGCCTGGTTCATGAGGTGCCGGACGTCGCCGGCCGTCCAGGGGAGGTTCTGGAAGCCGATCTTGCGCATGCCCTCATAGGCCAAGCAGTGTGCCCGGATGGTACGGAACCGGGCATCACCAAAGAGGTGGCCAAACTCCTCCAGCTCCCTGGCCCCCATCACCTGGTGCATGTAGGGGATCTGGTGCCGGAAGGGGATGAAGTATCCCAGGAGGCGTTCCAACCACCTGGCCCTCAAGTGTTGTTCCAACGCTCTCTGAGATGTCGGCAATTGGGTTTTGATCTTCCCTGGTTTCCAATGCCGCCACTTGTTGGCCACTGCCAGGACATCCGGGGCCTCAATCGATCCGGAAAGGATCCACTCTTCGCGGTCCCGGATGGCCTGTTCCATTTCCAGTGGAGAATAGGTGTGCGATTGCCTGGCGCCTGCCGCACGAAACAGAAGTTGTTGCAGGGTCTTAGTAGCGAGCTCCAAATCCGCCTCCTCCAGCGGTTGTGGTTGGGAGCCGAGTATCCTCGCGAGGATCAAGTTGTAGGTGTCCGAGGCCACCAGGACGTGGTTGCCGTCAGGTGCCAGCCCCACGATCCGTGTCCACGGCCGCGGGTCAAAGACCACCGCATCCGGGTTGGCGACCTTGTCCTTTTTGACCCATTCCAGGCAGCACGCCACGAGGATTTCCCCGTCCGACTGCACTGGTGCAAATCCAAGGTCATGCAAAATCAACTGGAGCGCGGTTGGCGCCCCTAGGAAGGTCGTCCCAAACGGGGAAGGGAGGCGGGGCCTCCACATCATCATGATCCACTCGAGCCGGGGGCCTAGTCCCTAGGTGCAAACCCCAACCAAACAACAGGGGGCCCCCCAAAACCCCGGAAAGTCAACCCCGAAACGGAGGAAACGGGGGAAAAAGGGGGACCCAGGGAGCCGCCCCGAAAAGGGAAAACCAAACAAGAGAGGGGAACCAAGGCGCACCCCGGATCAGCCCAAGCCGCGCCAATTTTCCTCGCCTGGTGCAAGTCTGGGCCTGCGCTGTTCCCTGGGGGGGGATATCAGCGCCTTCGGCAGCTGTCCCCCCCCCGGGGTGCGCTGCGCATCCGTTCCGGATGGCCGCGGTCCTGGATGGTGTGCCGGAAGATGGCGTTGTCCCGCATCATCACGCGGCCCCCTTCGCGATGTCATCGATGCGCTTGAGCGCAGCAGCCTCCGGATTCCGCAGAATCAGCTCCCAGATGGCATTGGAGACGTGGCCTGTCTGGGTGGTCTGGCTGAATCTGAACCTGGGCACCTTCTGGTCCACGATGGAGACGTCCCGCAACGGGGCCGAGGGCTCCACCCGGCGGTAGTACTCCAGCCGCTCCTTCACCCAGCGGTTGTAGAGGCCCTCCGGCGGCTCGTCCAACACCAGCTGCAAGATGGCCTTGCCGGCCCGGATCTGGAGGAGGCGGGTGCCCCCTCCCCCGGCACGCCAGTACCCCTTACAATACTTGCACATGTAGCCCCCCCGGGTCTCCCCTTTTGTCTTCGGGATGAGTTCCCACGGGGTGACGGAGCTCAGGACCAGGCCACACTCCATGTGCGCCCAGAAGACATGCTTCATCTCCACCGGATAGTTCTTCTTCCGGTAGTCCTTACCCACCACGCCGTGGACGTTGTCCGCCGTGATGGGGGGGTAAACGATCCCCTCATCGCCCTCGCCTCCCCTGGGGCGGATGTCAGGGCCATCGGCACCTGTCCGGCACCCAGGGGCGGAGGGGTCCAGGCCCATCAGCTTGATCATGTCGTTGGTGTAGCCGAGCTTGCGGTAGATGGAGGGGGCCACTGAGTCGGGGACTGCGCCGACCCACCACTGCTTCGTGTTGCAGCGCCAGTTGACCTTCACCTCCGCCAGGGCCCCCGGGCCTCCAATGCGGTCCATGAGGGCCTTGTACACCTCTGGGAACTGCTGGAGGCTCTCCACCGGGACCGAGATGCGCTCGTCGCATACCGCCCGCAGGATCATCTGCTCCTTGGAGTCCGCCACGTCCTGGACCGGGAGCTGCATCACCTCCGCCGGGGTGTCCGTGAGGAAGGCCCGGGCCGCGAGGACCTTGCCCATGGCCCGGTAGACCAATCGCCACTCCGGTCCTGTCTGCGGAAACGGAAGGCCCTCCTCCTTCAGGAAGCACCGCGCGTCCTCCTTCAGGGTCTCCCAGCCCTCCAGGCGGGTCTGATTCTGGGCCTTGTTTTTCGGGCCCCGCTGCCTAGGGCCCTGCAGCAGTGGCAGAGACAGACTCCCCAGAGCTGGCGCGGGGTGTAGCTGTGCCCGAACATCCCCAGTAGGCCTGGGAGTGTCCAGGACGAGATCTGGCGCGTCCAGTGGAAGTCCTCATCCGGATCGTGGGGGGCAGCCCAAAAGATGGATCGCAGGTCCCCAGGGTAGGGTCGGTCCCCCGCCTTCGCCTGCTGGTGCAACTCATCAACGGAGTACCTGGCCCAGGGGAGTCCACCCACCTGGTGGTTCCTGGGATGCGTACCCTTCTCCAACGCCTCCGGATTCACCTTGGTGAGGTTTTTCGCCCAATCCGGGACGTGTACCGGGCCCGGTCGTCGGACCCAGCGGCCCGCAAAGATACGGACCTCTCCGACCCGTTTGCTCATCATCCAGCGCAGGACCGAGAGCTGCACCTCCGGGTCCTTGGTGTCCAGGCCCACCGGGGTGGCGGACGGCTTGTCAGGGCCCTCGGCACCTGAGCTCGTCACGCCAGAGCCCGAGGCTGGGGGGATGGTGGGCGGCCTGTCAGGGCCCTCGGCACCTGGGCGCGCCGCACCAGAGCCCCCCGCCTTTGGCATGGGGATCCCTGTCAGGTCCGGCAGATCTGACAGGAGGGCCGCCGGGAAGGGATTCCTACCCAGCGAGATGACCGCCTTGGCCTCAAGGTAGGAGTCCGTGAGGGATGTGAGGTCGTCCATACTGAAGTCCCTCCATGCCGTTGTCGGCTCGAAGACCCCAGTCTCAATGGCGACCCGGACCTCACTAGGCCACGCACTGAAGGGAGGCGCGATGGGCTCGAGCATTCTGGTTTCGAGGGAGCCCTTCGCCTGTCTGGCTTGGTGTTTCGCTTTCGCCTCCTCCGCAGTGGTCTGGGCCTGGAGGAGCTCCGGTGTGGGTCTCCCCCAGTCCGCACCCAGCTTGTCCAGCAGCTTCTCACGGAAGAGGTCCAAGTCCAGGTTCTTCAGGAGCAGGCCTCCATCACCTCCTCCGTCAATGGCCCCCCCTTGAAGTTCGTGGAGGACCGCCGCGGAGCGCTCCACCGCTTCCACCTGGTCCGCCTTCTTGGCCTCCTCCTGGGCGATGGTGGTGGCGTTGAGCCGGGTCTGAATCTTGAAGGCCTTCACCGCAGACGGGTGGAAGGCTCTGCATTCCTGGCCCTCTTCCTTGTCGCCTGGCAATGGGGGCCTCTCCCCCGGTGGGGCCGTCAGAAACTCCTCGTCCAGCTCCATGGGGCAGTTCCTGATCACCGCCCGGACCGAGGAGGGGACGAAGTCCGAGAAGCTGGCCTGGTCCGGGTTCTCGCAGGCCATCGGGTCGGTGGCCAGCTCGCTGACGTCCACCGAGGCACTGAGCTTGAGGTCGCGGGCCCGGTCCGTGTCAGGGCCTTCGGCACCCGCGGACCGGGCCGCCGTCCAGACCGCATTGCCCTGGTCATCCACCGTCAACTGCCAATGCGTGCCCGCCATCTCCAGGGTGGCCGAGTTGGTCGCCGTGTCAATGGGCTCCGTCTTCTTGCCGCACCCCATGCACTTCGTGGCGCCCTTCTTCACCCAGGGCATGGTGCAGCAGGGGCAGATCCAGGATGTGGGCACCTTGCCCAGGGGGCGGTTCTCCAGGCCCCCGTACCCCAAGCCAGCGCGCTTGCCAACCTGCTGTCCCGGGGTGCTGAGCCGGGCCTCATGCTCGTACTTCATCTTGGCGATGTAGAAGGCCTCCACAACGCGCTCCAGGCCCCCCTGCTTGAGTTGGGGGCCCTCAAAGCCTCGCAGGAGCCGCTGGACGTCCTTGGCCTGCAGTCGGCGGAGCCTAGTGGCCGTGGTCGCATCGAAGCAAGGGAAGTCGCCCGCCATCTGGTCGTCGCTGAACTGGTAGAGGCCCTCCGAGACCTTGAGGGCCTTGGTGAACACGCTCCCCCCCGGCGGGGGGGCTGCGGGGTTCTCATCCTCCTCCGAGGACGCCTGCTCCTTGACCTTCGCCATCAGCTCCCGGCGCCTCTGCCACTTGGCGTCTGCCCGGGCATCCAGGCGGGCCTCCTCCAAGCGGGCTGCAGCCGAGGGGGACCTGGGCATCGGCAGCTCCTTCTCGTCCTTCGCCAGGAGCTCCTCCATGGGCACGTCCTCCTCCGGCGGGTTCAGGAGCTCCAGGAACGCCCCTGGGGGGCGTGTCAGGGCCTTCGGCACCTGCGCCACCCCAGGGGCTGCATCTTCCATCGGCTCATCCTCTGCCTTGCGCTTGGCCGGGATAAGGGGGGCCTGCTCCAGCTCATCTGCGCTGGAGAAGAAACGCTCGTCAGGTGCCTGAGGGACCTCAGCAGCCAAAACGGTCCATCCTTCTTCCTCCCTCTTCACGAGGCTCGCCAGGTACTTTGCCATGGAGGCCTTTGCCTTAGCCTTGGCCTCTGCTACCGCGGCACCAGCGTAGGCGGGGGCGTACATGGCTTTGAGAGTAGGGGAAAGAAAGATTTCAAATCACAAGACAAAAGATCAAAAGGTCCACTTGAGCCAAAATGGCTACGGTTGAGGTCATCTTTCGGCGCCTCGCTGGGCAAAAATATGCTCTGCAAAGCACCAGACGTTGACATCCACTCGAAAGGTCCGAGACAGGGTCACCTGGAGTCCCCTCCTGGCAAAAATAAATCTACTTCCAATAGTGAGATACATTCCCTTTAAAGCCAACAGGGGGAAAAAAGCGATTCTGACTCTCGCAGTCTAGCACGGATTACCCTGGTCAAAAATCCACAATACTTGTAGATCTCGCAAATTCTGGAGTCGAGCAATGTGAGTGGTCTTCGTAGGATGTCCCAAAATTCTTCAAAAGTTCGGATTCGGAGGAGCCAGGAATCTCTGACACGCCATGTGAACATTAGACAGTTCCTAAAAAAGGGCTCAAAAAGGGGGTGGGTCTCATGCTGCGTTTTGCTGGACTCTTGTGCAAGCACTTCTTTTCTTTCGACGCCGTTCCTTTTAACCCACCCTCACGAGCAGAGCAGTCCTGTAGTCTTCTGTATCCACAGGCTGTATAGCTGGCAAGCCCAATGACAGCTGCAGAGAAAGGGCTCTTGGTGTTGGTTGCCCTGCTCCCGCCCTACTGGCCCAGTCGCAGTCGCTCGTGCTACTGCGAAGTGCAAAGTCCTAGCTATTTGTCCAGCTACGAAGGTCTTGGGGCTGTCATGACCGACAGTCACTCTTGAAAGAGGTAAACCCACCGGTAGTATTGCAAACGAGCAGCTCTCATCCGGGGTTGCAAACGATTGAAAGGCTGTGTTGATCCCTGCCAACAACCCAATAGCCCAGCAGAGCCAGCCTAACCCAACAACCCAACCCCAACAACCCAACAACCCAAGAACCCAACAACCCAAGAACCCAACAGCCCAAGAACCCAACAGCCCAAGAACCAACAACCCAACAGCCCAACAAAGATCCCCGGCTTGGCCAGAGCCAAGTCAAGCACTTCCCAACAAAAGGATTGCCCCGCCGGCCGGCAGGGTCAACTTCAAGTCTTGGCCAGGAGCAGGTGACTTGGATGGACAACTTGGGATCGGTGCGAGAAGTTGGAAATGAGAAATGGAAGGAACCCAGTGGCTTTGGTCCCCTTAAAGGAAACCACCCCCTAAAGTTGGATGGTTTATAGGGGTCATTCATTCCTCGAGTCCCTAAGCACCAGCAAGACAAAGTCCGCTTTGGAACAGCTTGGATGGATGAAACCCTCTGAATTCTAGGACCAACCACCTACTGATGGATTTGTCCATCCACAGCAGTTCAAATACCCTCCCCCTAATTCCAACAATCGTGGCGGAATTCCGACACCCCACGGGTTCCTTTTGTCACAGTCACAGCATGTTCCCAAAAATGCACTGTCTTTCTCCTGACGTCTCAAGAGAGGGACCCCCTGTTTGAGCTGCTTTTCAAGAAACAAAATGCCTGCTGACCATCTTGCCGGGTTCGGCTGGTTGGTTCCAAGGGCTTGGTGTTTACTAGAGAGTCTCAAAAGTTAATCAATTGCCAATTCCCTATTGGCTTCTTTTTGCAGAAACTTTGGATTTAGGCAATCTCCAGCCTCTAGTAAGCCTGCACAACCATTTCGGTACGAAAGTAAACGGGCGTCCGGCGCTCATGCGACACTTGAGGATGCAGGATATAAAAGTGGAGTTCTGCCACAGTGTCTTGTAGCCAACGAGTTTCTGCTGCCCCATGTTCAAGGGAGATGAGTTGGTCTCATGGGATTGCCCAACAAACACCCCTACCTGAGTCACAATCAAAACCCGGTACACAAATGGTCGACCCAGAACCATGAAAAGAACTAAGAAGGCGGGCGCGGCTATTTATGGCCAAGATCGTCCCTTACTAACCCTCACTTGCCCGGGTTTTGATTGTGGCTCACAGGGGACACACCTGGATCCTCAGAGACTTGCGCCCCTTGGAAAAAATCGCCGCCCGGCCTGCGCGGCACCTTGCCTCAGTGAGAGCCGATCGATCCCTGCCCCTCAGCCTTTTGCCTCCACGTGTATCCAGCCGTTTTCTTGGTTGCTGTAACAACCCCTCTGCAAAACGTGTAGCTCTTTCTGGGTTTACTTCAAAACAACCCAACTTGATTTCAACCCAAAAGTCAAAGTCTACAGATCCAACCCAAGAGCGGTCCAGTTGTGCGCGGCCCTCAGGCTGCAAGGCCTTTCGGCGGGGAAGCGTCGCTTCCCCGCTTGGGTGTTCGGCCAAGCTGGTAAGTGGTCAGCCACTTGGGTTCTAATCCCACGAATCACGAGGTGAAATCCGCTGAACGGGGGGTGGGACTGATAAGTGGGTGATAAGAAAAAACCTGGCAACCACTAGCTGGCCAACCCAGCAAGTTCCCAAGTAAAGACAATAGGGGTAGACAACGATGCCGCAGAGGCCGCAAGGATGTACTTGGACCCCGCACATACCTTCCGAGAGGAACCCTCCCACCCACAAACTTCGCTTAAAAACCAACCCCGAAAGGGGATTTCCAGAAAGTCCCCATGCGCCTCCGAACAACCGGCCGATCCAACCTGAAAGCCTCAGAAGTAATGCTGAAAACCGCCCCGAAAAGGGCGGTTTTACAGTTCATGCCAACCACAAATATTATATCCAAAATAAGCCAACCACCATTAATCCTGGTGACCCTCTGTCTTGCCAACCCTCTGGTTTTAACTTTACATCCTGCAAATATGCCAACCTACACTTAACCACAAAGTTCAGGGGTGAAAAAATCGTGAAAATCGTCTCCCGCGCTTTTGCAAAATTTAGGACATCCACCTCCAAAAAGGGCGGTTTCCTTTGGGCTTCCTTTAAAACCAACAGGAGGCAGGAACGCGGCAACCTGAGATGCAGGTCATCCATCACTAGGGCTGCTCTTGGCTAACATAATCTGAAATCCTGAGGTAGAAAGTTTGCGAGTGGTTTCAATGGGTTTCTCTGTTTCAAAGTTTGGTTGTTAGGAGAATGACCCCAAGAAAAACCATCCCAAATGTGGCTTTCGTTCAGGGAATCCCCCCCCCAAAAGAAAAAGGCCCATTCCCAACACCCCAGACTCGGCAAGGGTCGGCACCCCCCGGTGCTCGATTTGCTTTTCAGGGGATCCCGGCAGCTGCTCGATTTGCTCCAGAAGACTGTCGCAGCCAGGGAGTTCCTTCACCTGTGGCTGGCTTGGGTTGGGGAGGGGGGGTGGGGGGTGGCTTGGGATGGGGGGAGGGGGGTGGTGTGGCTTGGGAAGGGGGAGAGGGGGGAAACTGGGCCATGCAAAACTCCTGGTGTCAAGTCAAAAGAAGCAATCATGATGCCCTCAAACATGGTGGAACTCGCCCCATGATTCTGAGAATCCTGATGTGTGTAAGCTCCGTTGGCTGGACTGCCCTAAGAACGAGAATATGTCTGTAGTTGATTCGATTCCCTCTAACACCAAGAGGGAAACCAAAGCATATTCTATTGCAAATGCAAGATAAGGGAGTTCGAGGAGTCGAAGTCCTCTTGTTGAAAACGAAAGTCCTCTGGGGTGAAAGAGGTCTCGAGGAAACTGGAAGATCCTCCGATCCGTCCTAGCATACCCCTTCCCCACTTCCACAGCACGTGAAATTGGCTGCTCGGCCCACAAAGGGTACGGCCAATTCCCCAGATCTTGGGGAAAAAGACAAAATTACCCCATTGCCGTAAATGGTTTCCCTTTGGGCAATGTAAAACAAAAATAGGATTGTGATCGAACCCAGAAACAATAGGTGGATCACGCGGGAACATCCGAAGGATGCTTTCAGGAAACCTTTGGGATGCTCGTGTGGATTTGTTCTACTGTTTTACTCTTTGACTCACCGGCCCGAAGTGCTTGAAATGAATTAAACAAAATAGTTACCTCCCTCCAACAATCATGAAGGCTGACAGGAGGGTTGTGGAAGATTACTTTGCTTTTGGGGCAGGCCCCTTTATCATGAAAACCATATGGGGTCCTGGATGAATGAGGCAGGCACCTTCTTTCGGGTCTGAAAGGGTTGCCCGGATCTACCGCTCGATTCCCAGGCAGGGTTCCTTGTACGGACCCTCTAAACATGCCAGGACGCTCATGTTGCACTTGGCCTCCCCAAGTCGACATGTAAAGGACCCCTAAAACCACCCCTGGAAGGTTTCTCCATTTTTTCTTCGTTTAGCCCCCTTCTTTCGTTTAAACCCTTAACCCCCTTTTCCTCCATTTGTCTCCTTTGTTTTTCGTTTAACCCGCTGCTTCCACCAGTGTTCCACCGGCTTCTCTGCAAGTCGCCCAATCCGGCGAACCAACTGCGCCAACCACCCGCCTTCCGGCGTGCCAGGGCGATGGTGTCCTGACACTCCCAGACCCAAGTCTCAAGCCTGCCACGATTCAACCAGCTCCACGTGGCTGGTCAGGTCAAAACCAATGCTACCACCCATTTTAGGTTACCTATTTCAGTGGTTGGATTGGGATGTTCACTGGGGGTACGATTTGGATTTTGACCCAGCTCCACGCTCACAGGTTGCGACTGTTTGCGCCCTCAAAGCCGCAAACTGTCCTTTGAAGAATTGGGTTACAACTTGTCCCCATTTTTTGGAAGCGCCTTGGCCGTTCCCCGAGGATACTCCAGGTCACCCCTCAAAGGGGCCGGGAGGCTGAAATTGGGCAAGGCTTCCAGTGGTCCAGGGCCAGGAGCCCGGTTGACCTAAGGAAAATGTGGCGGCTCGTTCTTCTCCCATGGGAACTCCTTCAACCTGAATTTGGCGGCCCAGAAACAAACATCCAAGTTTGGGTTGAACAATCTGCCAAAAACCCAGGGGGGGTTCCTTCGGTATATGGAACTCCAACCTCGAAGGATCGAGCCCAAGTCTGTGGCTGGCAACTGAGAGAGATCGAAAAGGAATCTCCCAGACCCGGAAGTCTGGGGATGGGAGGGAGGGGGGGGGTGCCAAGACTCGAGTGCCATTCTGCCATTCTCTGGGTGGGATCTTTTGAAAGAAATTTCCGCTGGGACACTTATTCCGGGGAGCTTGGGATTTGCATGCGTGAGGCAGGAATCCAGCCTCACTTTGAGGAGACTGTGGAGAAACGGTGTTCCAAGTTGCGGTGCGCGCGCCGACGAGAATGCGAACCTCACCCTTTCTGCCCAAAGGTCCCCCAAAGCTCGCACTCGGCTTACCGCCGAAAAGAAACCTTCTGAGGCTTATCTCGGGGACCAAAGCCAAGTCAGCAGAAGCATTTGGGTGACGGGTGCATATTTTTGGGGGGCACTCTTTTTGGATTGTTCTTAATGTCACACTTGCCCATCAAGGTCAAGTAAAGACCATCCATAGTCGAGCGGCTCCGTTGCCTTCCCATGAGGGCTCTGCGGTGTTTGCCCCAACATGGGGTGGGCACCTTTGCTAGTTGATGTTTCAAGGGGTCCCTACTTGGGATGGTTGCGAAATCCATTGCGCACCACAGTTCAGAAACCCTGGAATGATTCGATTCCCCTGTAAATACCAACAAACAATGGTTTCAACCATGGCCTCAAAGTAGTGCGAGATGGATTTCGTCCATCAACAGTATTTCACACACCGAATCCATTCGGTGTGCCGCGACTTGTTTTTCACGTCTCCTGCATCACAGAAGTGATGGGCTCAAGGCCGTACCTAGCCGAAAGGTCAGCGCGGAACCGCAATGGCGGGACCTGTGCTATATGCGCGGGCTCCTCTGACTTTCAATCTAAGGGCCAACTTGCATGCCCCAAATGGACATAGCCCAGAAATAGTGGTCCTACACGGGTTACACAGGGTACATGCCCAAAAAAGACATCCCTATACAAGGCGTATAGGCGTAGTATGTTCAATTGGCGTATATAGGTTGGTGCTCAGGAAGCTCCCTCACAGAAAGTGGAGGCTGTTGCGCCAAAGCGTCCCAAACATGGCCTCGGCTTGCCGCGAATGGGCAAGGCAGTGATGCATTGCCCGCCCCCCCCCCCCCCCCCCAAACTAGAAGGCCTTGCTGGGTCTGAGTTTGAGGAAACAGGGGAAGGAACCGTTGAAATCCTGCCATGGGCATCTGGGTGTCAAAATAACGATTTCGACCCAAGATGATGGCTTTCCTTTGGTTTCCCTTGACACCAACCTTTAAAAAAACACCCTTAAACACAAACATATGCAAAATCCAAAATGTGTATATACGTATAATATCTACATATAATAACTTGGTTGCTGTCTGCTCCCCTGCTAAAAGTTTAATTTCTAGTGGTTTAGTGGAAAACCCATTAGTTGGCAAAAAGTTAAAGTCCTAACAGCCAAGCAAAATGCACCAAAGTATATATATATATATATCTATCTCACTCCGGCATCGCGCTGCTTGGCGCACTCAGGCAGGATGCTCACGAAGGCAGACCAGACCTGGCGCCGGAAGTTTGGACCCCGAAACTCTGCCCGTTTTCGGTTTTGATCCCCCGCGAAAAGTTGGACGAACTTTTCAGTGGGTTAAATATGGAAAACTACCACTAAACCCCAAAAGGCTAATAGGCTAAGGGGACGGCTGGGAGCCACCGCGTTTGGACCCCCAGCCCGAATTTTGAAGCCCAAAACCAGAACAAATCGGTGAACAAATCGGTGGTGTGATTGGAGAGAACAAAACAAAAACAGGTCTCCCCCCCTTGTGCATTGTACGTATAATATGGAGAGGTGCTCCGTATGATCTTTCGAGCGAAAACTATAGCCGGAATCTGCGCGTCTTGCTTTCGAGGCTTCACTCTAAGGGTTCAATGCTGTTCCATTGCTTTCAACCAGCGTCCTTCCCCGATCAGCTGTTCTCCTGGGTGCCTGTTTCTTCTTTTTTCTGGAAATAAGGTTCCCGGGAAAGAACCCACAAGTGTCTTTGCGGGTGCTTATTGATGGAGCCTTTTCACCTTGCCTTGCAGGGAAACCAAGAGGAACACTACCATTTGGGTCCTATTTTGACACATGCCCGGACCAAATCCGCGCCCAGTTGGGATTGGTAGTTCCCAGTCTTCGAATCGAGCTTCCTCCATACCAACTTGCCACGTGGTGCGAAGTGGATTCTGCCCATCCACAGAACAAGGGGTCCCCAAAGAGTGATCTGGGTTTGAATTTTGATTAGGGATCCTTTGGTGGACATCATTCAGGTGGGGATTTCACTTGTTAGGGGTTCCCCCCATGAAAATTCATAGCCGTCTCCTCTCAACATCGGCATCCCCCCCGCTCAACCAGAGTTAGTTCCTGGGGCAACTTTCTGTTGATCTTTCAGAAACGTCTCGGAGCAACGGGATGGGTCTGATTGTTTGAGGCTCACCTGTTTAGCCTTGTCGCAAAGAGCTAAACCAAAAGAGTGAGCCTTTGCTCCAAATCCAAATCTCTGTGAAATTCCACTGGAAACGCATGCCCATTTCGTTTGAACTTCCAAATCCCTTTGACACACAGGTTGCAATCCCTTGACCTCCAGATGGATCTCGACTCGCGCCCAACCCTGTATCCTATATGGCCAGGCGAGTGGACTCGTGTATCCCAAGTGTCCGGCTTTCTTGCTGGTGCGATAGGTAGGGAGTGAGGGACTGAACCGTTTCGGGATTCCCAAATAAAGGAAACCACAAGGGCTGGTCTATAGGGGTCACTCCCTCATTCCCTGCTGAGCACCAGCAAGCTTTGTCCAATATGTGGCACAACTCTGAAGTGCACCAGACATAGTATAGAAGTGCTCGTCTACCTGACTTGTTCAACATGGAATCCTCCTCCGCAATCCGTAGTGGAAACCATCTCAACAAGGAACACCGCTCATATGGCACATGGATTCAACCTAGAGCGTTGCAAGAGCAAGTGGTACTGAAAGACCACATGCACATCCCTGCTCCTTCAACATCCCTGCCAACTGGTCTTACAGAGCAATGCCTTGTGGGGCTTAAAATGAATTCAAGCTTCTTCTTGAATTGATTGATTGGTTGCTTGGTTGCTTGGTTGCTTGGTTGCTTGGTTGCTTGATTGCTTGATTGCTTGATTGCTTGATTGCTTGATGAATTGCTTGATTGATTGATTGATTGATTGATTGATTGATTGATTGATTGATTGATTGATTGATTAATTGATTGCTTGCTTGCTTGCTTGATTGCTTGATTGCTTGATTCCTTGATTCCTTGCTTGCTTGCTTGCTTGATTGCTTGATTGCTTGATTGCTTGATTGCTTGATTGCTTGCTTGCTTGCTTGCTTGCTTGCTTGCTTGCTTGCTTGCTTGCTTGCTTGCCTGATTGATTGATTGATTGATTGATTGATTGATTGATTGATTGATTGATTGATTGATTGATTGATTGATTGATTGATTGATTGATTGATTGATTACTTGATTGATTAGTTGGTTGATTGATTCGTTTGGTTGCTTGGTGCTTGCTTGCTTGCTTGCTTGCTGCTTGGTTGGATGGATGGTTTATGTGGAGGGACTGGTCCAAAGAGACATCCGCAAACATAGGTGTCCTTTTACGGGAAATAGATGGCCCTGGTAGATGACTAAACCACCAGGTAAACCAGGAATCGCCATCCATTTTTCTAGCAAAACCAACCAAAAAGGACACCTATGTTAGCCTTTCTCCTACCTTCCATGGCAGCTGACAGGGAAACTGCCCCAAGAGGAAGCTGATCTTCCAGGTGCCCGCCCACAGGTGCCATGGAAGTGGGAGGGAGTTTTCAGGGAAACCATCCTTTTCGGGCTTGCCAGGTGGTGCATTGGATGGATTTCGTCCATCCACAGCATGTCCTCAAAAACAACCTCCGCAGAAACTCCCCAGGCGCTGACTGAAGCCCGGCCTCTGGAGCCGCCGCAGAGCCTCGGCCGACGCACCACATCCGGCCGCAAAAAACAGGCGAAGTGTAGATCTCTGGGGATACCAAAAGGAAAACGCCGCCAAACTTTGTTGTGTTTTATTTTTTCTTGGGTGGTTTTCTGTTTATTTGGGGGGGGGGGGTTCTTGGGTGTTTTTCTGTTTGCGTTGTTTTGATTTTTTATTTTTGTTTGTGCTCTCTTTTTTTGGCGGGGGGGGGGGGGGGGGAGACTTTGAACTGTAGATGGACCGAATCTACGCCAGGCACCAGCCAGGATGGATGAAACGCTGGAATGACTGGTTGATCAACCACATAGCACTGGGCTGCCCTCAGATCCCCCGCTAAAAGGGACTAACTTTTTGCGGGTTAAATGGGAAACTGCCACTAAACACTAAGAAGATCTAAAAGGCTAAGGATCCGGATGGCTGGGAGCCACCATGAAGAGTAGTGCCCCTTTGTCTTGGACCCCGGTGATGGGCAGTGCCAGCTTTGAAGGGTCCAAGAAGCACTTGCACGGGCATGATGTCCAGAGATGGCATCGCCATTGGTGAAAGCGCACAGGCTGACCAGAATGCGATGTTACCAGGCGTACTGTTCAAATCCAAGTACACCTTTTGTGTATGTGCTCCACCCCGAAGCGGCAAGGCAGCAGTGCCTTGCTGAAGAAGACGTCTTTGGGATTTGAATGATTTTGGCTCCGACGGGCATCGTAAGGTGTGTACTTGTGTGTGTGTGTGTGTTGTGTGTTGCATTCAAAAAGGGGCTTTCTTTTTGGGCCCTTACGCGAAGGAACAAGGGCTCCCTCAAACTTGTGGGGGAGGTCTTTCTCGTTGACCAAACCTCAGTGGGGAAGGAGCACTTTTGGACTAAAATGTTTCGTGCGCCCAAAACCATCCAAAACCCATTGACTCTCTACCAAAAGGCTGCAAAGATCTAGGTTCATCGCCCCTCACAAAACCGGCTCGAGCCGGTTCTGTAAAACCCAGCAAACCTAGAAACCTGCCATGAGGTTTTAAGGTATCATAGGCAAACACCCCTTCTACACCCAATTTGCCAGTGCACGCACCCACCCTGCCCAGCCCGCTGTGTGTGATGGAAAAATAGGGGGGGAGAGGGGGGCGACTTGTGTGCTTCAACATAAGGCCGAGGCCCGTACTGCTTGCTCTCCTAGGTCCTCCAGTAGAGAGGTTAGAAGAATTTGGCACCAACTTTTTTCGGCTTTGTCTATTTTAGTAAGGGAACCCTCCCAACCAAACAAGTTGGTAAAAGTGCACCTAGCTGGGGGACCTAGTCTCTTTACCATTTTCCCCACTCTTGCGAGCACCTCTATACCTCTGTTTCTGGCACCTGTAAAGGCCCTGCTTCTTCTTCAGCGTCCACAGTCGCAAGATCTCTGCAGAAGAAGTGCATCCGTTGAGGCAGTGCCTTGCTTTGTTGAAGGCTGAGTACTTCCACGTGCATGGCATTGGAACCCAACACTGTCAACAGCATCAAAACTTGTTGAAGACATGCCTGACAGAACTCAGTCCCGGGGCTGGTTTCTGCGGACGTACCGCATTCTGACATGGCCAATGCGGGCTTTGCGCATTTCTCCAATGTTACCCATTTGGCTGTCGGGCAAAAAGTCTGGGCCTTCAAACTATACTCTAAGAATGAGAACTTCACACAAAATCATTAGACATATGCCATTTACAACTCAGAGGGTCCACACTTGTTCCATAAGGCTAAAGGAAACCACCAGTTGGATGGACCCCGGACCTTCCCACTTCCCGGAATCTCACCGAGTAAACTAGGTGCACATCATATAGGGCGATACCCGGTTTGTTGGGCACGTACCTTCCCCCAGACTAACAGCCAGAAGCTCCCGAACGGAGCCCAAAGCTCCCATTTACAGGATCGGCAAATTGGGAGAGCTTCCGGCTGTTAGTCTGAGGGAGTGTAAGTTCCTTCCCGGAATCCCGAGCAAACCAGGTACACATCACACAGGGCAATGTGAGTCATACTCAAAACCCGGTGCTAAAATGATCATAATCCCAGAACCATGCATCAAGAATTCAGAAGGCGGAGATCCGCAGCTCTTCATGGCAAGGGGATTGTCCCTAACCTTCATCTACCCGACTCGGTTTTGATTGTTCCTCACATGGAAAATCTACCAGGGCTACACTTTTTGACTACCCCACAGTAGGCTTAAACCCAGGGGTGGTTCATCTACCCGAATCGGTTTTGATTGTAGCTCATGTCCCTTTGGGAGACCAATCACTTTAAACCCACTGAACTGAGCCCCGTTCCGCCAGGCTTCGACACCTTCAGCTTGGCCTGCCGTTGCTTGCACCGCGGATTTTTTCTCCGCGGCTTTTCCGCGGAGAGAAAAAGAAGACAAAACGGGTCCAGAGGAAACCCACGCCTTTGCACTGGAGCCCCGGATCTTGTAAGGGCGAACAGGACTTGTGAAAGCCGCGGGTCCAGTTCCACCATCAAAATGATCAGTTCCCAGAGGGAAACTGACCTCCCTGGATTTTTTGTGACTGAAGCATAGACAAACCGGGATTTTTGATTGAACCTCACATAGGATTTTATGTCATGGGGATTGTCCACCCACCACTTTTCAGTGGGTTCTCCATCCGGCATAGATGGGAGTGTGTATCCACCTGCCGCTGGTGTTTACTACCTGGTATCCACGTTTTGTTCAGCCGGGTGGTGAGGTGAAACATCCGTCACATTGTCTCGGGACTCCCTACATTTCCCGCCATGAACACACCAATATGGGTAGGACCTTTGTTGATGGTACCCTTTTTGGATTGCTGAAAGGGGAACAAAAAGAAACCACCCATTTGGAGGGCTCTCTGAAACATCCATATATGGGTTTTGGGCCAAACGCGATCCGCACCCCAACCGAGTCCTTCAAAGGACACAAACGGATTGCAGTAAACGGCAATCGGAAGAAGAAAAAAAACTGCCCGTGGAACTTCTTGGAATTTCTTCATGTCCAACACGTTGGACTCGACGCCCGATGCAATCCTTCAAGTCAACCCAGTGGATACCAGAGAAACGTAAACCAAAAGTCTGCACATCTCTAGGGTTTGAATCTCTATTATGTTCAACCATCGTTTTTTTCAAAAACCGGCCGTTTTCCCTGGGCTTAGCGAAGCTTTTGGAAAGAAGGGTCCCTGGAAAGCATGGGGAAGGTACCCCTAGAATCTCGCTTTCAAGAACAAGTGGTCCGCCGAAAATCTGCAAAAACCAACGCGCCAACGGATGGATCCGGTCCGTGAGCCAGACATAGAAAGAAAAGCCTTGAAGGTGTTGTGTTCCTTCCTGCCCGAAAAAAGAAAAAAAAAAAAAAAACTCATCTCCGTCTTTGGGACTCGGACCCAAACACTGTTTGGGCTCCTCCAATCCTTCGAACCAGGGAAGCACTGTGACCCATGGCAAAACTGGGTGTGTTGAAGTGACCTCCTCAAATTTAGCCTTTCAAGAATGGTAGCTCAAAGGAGACACACCAAATAGCGGCACCTCCAACTGGCGGTGTCCTTTCGACTTCCCTTAAATCACCAAAAAAAGACCACTCCAACAAGGGCGCCCCCCAAGAAACACATACACATCCAAACGGTGAAACCACTGGGAAAATCTTTGCCCAGGCTTGCTGCCTGGATGGCTGGCCGGTCTTTGGCCACCAGAATGTCCTGCAAAGGGCTTCTGCACATCTCCGCACCCACACACCAGGCGCGGACACACACGCACATACACCTACGCATATGCAAACACATATGCGGATACGTGCACACATACACATACACATGTGTATATTAGAGCCAATGAATCCTATCTGAATTCGCACAGCAAAAGCGAGAGCGCACAGGAAAATGCAGGCTGATGCGATCCCGAATTCAATTTTCAGCCTACAACGCAGGCCCCGAAACCCTTCGGCTTTGAAAGGATTCCGGAGGAAGACAGCTCTACAAGCTCCGTGTGATTGAGGGAAGCGACCAGCTGACAACAAACATGATGCGGCCATCACCATCAATAGCCCGAGGAGCTCTTCTAGCGCAACGCATTCCAAACATGGGTGGTGTTCTGAAAAAAAGAGATGACCCTGGTAAATGGAGTAAAACCCAGCTACACCAGCGCTATCTATTTCTATCCAAACTTACCTAAACAGGGCATCTACGATTCCAAACCTGTTGTGGGAAAAACGGAAATCCTGCAGCAAGTATTTCTGTGGTCCACTGGCCTGAAATCAGGCATCCCATTCGAGCTCGCTCTTGCAGAATCATCCGGAGCTTGCTCAGCTTGACGGGAAACAAAAAGCGAAAACTGGGCCTTTCTTTAGGCAGCCCGCATTTTCCGTCACTTAGCAGTAGATGGTAAAATGGCGTGCGTACATGGCAAAATGGACTGGTTGATGACTCAGTTTGTGGATCCCTTGCTAGCTAATATAAAGTGTGAGGATATGTGCACCACAGTGCGCAGGTTCCGCCAAGAGGATTCTTTGCGAAATGTGCGTGAGTCCCCCATGCCCCTCCCACATGCACAATAAACGGGTAAGATTGACCGTATCCCATCAGTCCCTCTAAGCGCTAGTCTCTAAGTCTAAGAATGTGGGCCAGTTGAGGTCAGGCCAGTCAGGTCTAAGGTCACGCTGGGTTTCCCCGGCCTTTTCGGAGGCCAAGCGTGGGTGGAAGAAATCCCAGTGAGTTCCAGGCCCCAAAAGCCCGGAACTGCTTGCAGTCCCGGAGGAACTGCTTGCACCGGGTAGGAGTGAAGTCCACCCCCGTCCATGCCTCAAGCCGCTTTTTTTTTTCTCCAAAAGCGAGGGCTCCGAGGATACTGTTTGGCCAAGTCAGAAGCAAGCTTAGTGGTTTTTTCAGGGGGTGTTGGCTTCAAAGGACTTCTACGTACATGTAGCAGGCGATTTTCAGGAAAGTGACTTTGCTCTTGACAAAGAAGCCATAATATGGATGAGCAAAAAACCACTCCCCACCAGTTGGGATGGAGAAGGCTAAAATATTGGGACAAGCCGCCTTTATAACTGGTGCAGGAGTTCGTCCATCCAAAGTATGGGTGTGTGCGTGATTGTTCTGGAGGGCACCCTTCTCAGCTGACTGTAGCTCAAAGGCGAACCAAACTAGACCACCATTGTGGGATCCCCTATTTCGACGATCACGACCACGACCACGGCCACGACCACAACAGAAACAGCAACACCAGCAGCAGCAGCGGTAGCAACGACAACGACAACGACAACGACAACAACGACGACGACAGCAACAGCAACAGCAACAGCAACAGCAACAGCAATAGCAACAGCAGCAACGGCAGCGGCAGCGGCAGCGGCAGCGGCAGCGGCAGCAACAACGACGACGACGACCACGACCACGACCACGACCACGACCACGACCACGACCACGACCACGACCACGACCAGCACCAGAACCAGAACCAGAACCAGAACCAGAACCAGAACCAGAACCAGACCAAGACCAAGACCAAGACCAAGACCAAGACCAAGAACAAGAACAAGAACAAGAACAAGAACAAGAACAAGAACAAGAACAAGAACAAGAACAAGAACAAGAACAAGAACAAGAACAAGAAGAAGAAGAAGAAGAAGAAGAAGAAGAAGAAGAAGAACAACAACAACAACAACAACAACAACAACAACAACAACAACAACAACAACAACAACAACAACAACAACAACAACAACAACAACAACAACAACAACAACAACAACAACAACAAACAACCAACAAACAAACAAACAAACAAACTAACAAACAAACAAACAAACAAACAAACAAACAAACAAACAAAACAAACAAACAAACAAACAAACAAACAAACAAACAAACAAACAAACAAAGAAACAAACAAACAAACAAACAAACAAACAAACAAACAAACAAACAACAACAACAACAACAACCACAACCACAACCACAACCACAACAACAACAACCACAACAACCACAACAACCACAACAACCACAACAACCACAACCACAACAACGACGACGACAACAACCAACCAGCCAACCAGCCAACCAAACAAGCAAACAAGCAAACAAACAAACAAAACCAAAAACAAATCAAACAAACAAACAACTGAAAACTAATTTAACATTGCCACACATCTACAGGGTGAAGCTACTCAGGCAAAAAGGGGCATTTGCAGAAGAAGCCATGTCTCGGTTTGTCTCCAAATGAGGCCCCCAGTGGAGTGAACCAACTGTGACACCCTTTTCTATCGAAACAGCCTCTTGCAATGAGCAGAATTCCTTTTTGCACTCCCCCTCTTGTCGCCCTCCCCCTCTCCAAGGGTTTGGGTTGGAACTTTGTTGTACCACAAAGAATCAGTTCGCTTGAAATGTGGCTGGAAAATTGGCTTTGATGGCTTCTTACCCCTTAAAACTCCAAGCCCTGGGGAAGTTAATCTTTTACAGACATATAGCCCATGTTACCCAAA